ATGATGATGAAAGGATGATAAAGGGGTTTCTTGGTCTAAATCCTCATGGTTTAGAGTGATTAGATGCTCTTTGAATCAACTCTTGTACATGCATCAATCTATGATCCTCTTACTTTGTGTTTTGTCCTATAATCTCATCTTTTGGCCATTTAATATTCATTTAAATTATATACATAAGAGTGATCAAAGCATGTGTGAAAAATTTTAAATCAAAACTCAAAGCCAATTGCAAGATACAATGCCATTTTCAAGCTCTTATATTCTAAAACATGACAACCTAGTGTTTATGTCTTTGTCTTGGACCATCCTATGACTTATGTCATTTGATATCTCTTTGAAATCTAAAATGAATTTGAATCTCAAACTTGTTCTATTGATCTTAGAAAAACAAAAGATACAAACTAAGCTAATATCCTAAAATTGTCCAAAAATTATCAAAATGACCAAAATACTCCTAGGTTATGAATGAATCGTAATTGACTCTAAAGGTCTAGAAATACCTCATTATGCAAGAATTAATGCTCTAAGAATGCAATAATGTAAGAATATCATCCTAACATATATACAAATAATGCAATATGTTAATAACCATTAGTAACATACAAATGTTTATTACCTACAATAACCCTTGAGGTATCAAGTTGAGCAACATCATTTGTCACATATGTAGGGGCACTATTATTAATATACCAACTTGAGTTAGCCACTACTTTCAGGAGTAGCAAGGGCAGCATAATAAAGAGGAGCATCTTGAGTAGCTCGAGCGGCATTAGGACTAGAAAGCGATCGGTCATAGCAAAAGTAGTAGTGAGTAGTAAGATGACCAGTTTTATAGCAAAGTTGGCATTTAGGTTTATCAGAGCCTTGTGTAAAATGACTATGGCTTCTTCCTCTTCGAAAGGCTCTACATGGTTGAAAAGAACCATGACTTTGGTCATCATATAAGTGAAGCGACCTTGACTGAATCTTGTTGGGGCCTTATAAGCAAGATTAAAAGTAAGGTAAATATTTTTATATTGATTTAGTTGATCAAGTGTACTTTCAAAAGTGAGAAGAGTGGCTTATAACTTAACCTAGCTATCTTCTGGTTTGTTAGTAAGTTGACAAACAATAGGATTATATTCATTATTCAGTCTTACAAGCACTTGAGGAGTATTAAGGTTAATAGGAGAAATAAGACTACTAACAAGTAATAAGTTATCAGCAATAGTTCCACTTTAGAGAAATATTCCTCCATCTTTATCAAACCCTTCTGAGTTCATGAGAACTAGTTTTGAGAACCATTACCAAAACTAGTTCTAGCAAATTCCTTAGTATCATTCTATGGTACTGCAGCAGTAGCTAGTCTAAGAAGCTAAGTGGCAACTTTAGATGACATAGAGCTATAGAGCCATCTGAGTAAAAGATGGCCTAACTTTCCAATCAAGGTAGTCTAGATTGATGACAAGCTTATCACCCTTAAACATAAACTCTTGTAGGCATAACATTGTCCCAAGGACATGTCTTTCAAGTTGATATCCTTTAAAAATAGGTAAAATAGAGTTTTCTAAAGAAGGTAGTTGCTTTCCGTCTAGCTTAATAGAAGCAAATTGAATGTTAAAAGATGGAAGAGATAGGAGACCAGTGTTGGCAATGGAAAGAAGATGGGTATGGTAATGGTGGTAATAAAAATAATGGTGGTGGTAATAGGTAGAATGATGATTGTTTTGGAAGATTAAAAGCAGAGGATTTTGTTAGCCATGATGACTTTGATATCAAGAAAGGAAAAAGGACAAAACAAAATATTCAAAGGATGATTTTAAATATTGGCTTGTCCATTCCATTATGCAAGCAATACATTTATAGAGGTGTGGTGAAAATCCTACTATACACCATAAATGGATAAGAAAAAATAATAAACGTGGCTATACAATTATAAAAGAATAAAGAATATGAGACAAAATATCAAACTATTCTAATAGGTTCTATAATAATAGACTTCTAATGAATTGGGCTAATTGCATCTTTCTAGGTTGATAGTGGGTCAAAAAATAATATTCCTATCAATCAAATTAGGCTTGGGGCATCCCTCCACACACACATTATTTACTTATCATTTTAACATTTAATGCTTATGTTCTACATGGACTAATAAATGATTGAAAAATTGTACTAATAATTAAAATACTGTTAGATGTGATAATTGATAGTGAATACTTCTCTCCTTTTATTTATAAGTCACTTTCAGCATGTTTGATTGAAACCAATAAAAATCTTAAACTTCATTAACTATATCATAAAATTTAATATGTTTCTACCTATACCCCATAATAAGAACCAAATTAAATGAATTATCTTTAATAATTTTTCTTAGCATTTAATAAGGGCAAAATGTAAAATTAACATAGAAAATAGTGAAATACTCTATAATCAGATCAAGATGAATGTTTTCTCTCTACCTTATAAACAAGACCAGAGAAGTATATACACATTCACTTACCCATGCCTTCTTCTACTGAAATTGAATATGCAATTGCTCGAATGTCTAACTGTAAGTAGACTTGAGGTGATATAAGAAGTCTCATATTGTGTAAAGTTAAAAATAACCAATATAGAGAAAAACACAATTATTAGTCCCCATAATTTTATCAAATTTTGCTTTTAGTCTTATAATTTTTTCCATTGTTTTCAATCTTTATAGGGACTAAAAACACTGAAACTATATGGACTAAAAACATTGGGAAAAAATTGCATGGACTAAAAGCAAATTCAATAAAACTAAAGGACCAATAATTGTATGAGAAATATAACTTTAAATCCCTGCACTTTGCTTGTGTTTTGCTATTAGTCCTTGCACCTTTTTTGATAATTTAGGTTCATGTATTTTTATTTTTCATTATTTTAGATCCCTTTAAGGTCCCTATACTTTGTTCATGAAAGGATCTAAAACAATAAAAAATAAAAATATATAGACCTAAAATATTGAAAAAGGTATAGACTAATAGCAAAAGGTGAATAAAGTGCAGATATCCAAAGTTATATTTTCCCTAATATATATAATATAGTGAAAGGATCTATAAATTCAAATTTTAAGGTTTTAAGTTAATATGTAGCGTACTTCTATTGCTCTTCATTCATTTGTTTTCTTTCCCTATGGTCGCTCATGCTTTTTAACAAGTGATATCAAAACCAAGTTTCCCTGAGACTTGTATAAAAAGAAACAATATGTTGGAAGCCTGTATTGGAAACTCAAAATGCATGGATTTGTGTGTGAACCACACATTTGAAACTTGAAAATTGAGCCGACTTTAATTGCATAAACAAGGACTTAGTGTTTGTAACCTTTTTAATATGTAAAGCTTGTAGCCTCACACTTGAATGGAGAATTGTTAGGATATCCAAGTATTTGTGGCCTCATAATATTTATGAAAAATTAATCTTTTAATTCTTGAAGTTTTAACTTACTTAAAACTCAATTCCTCAACTATAAATAATGTCATGTAGGATGACTCAATACTAATTCATGATGAGTTATGGATAATAAAGATAAAATTATAAATGGTGAAAAGTTTAGGTTTTGAGTTTTATGTAAGTAAAAGTTTAAGGATTGAATTTCAACTAATTATATTTAAGAAATTGATTTTAAGTGAGTCAATACTTGAAGAATCAAAGGATTTTTCCTAATATTTATTATGACTTGATCTTGTAGTATGCCATCCTTAGTTAACAAATGTCAAAAGCAAACAATAAATTAGATTGGGCCTTAATTCCCCCTAACAATATAATTGGTTTGGATCGAACCTTATAATAAACCAAAGAGGATCTATTTGTTTTGATTAATCACAGGACAACAACGTGGAGAAAAAGATAAAAATGAGAAGAAACGAGACCCACTTAATTTTTCTTGGGTGAAATATACAAGGTGATCATTTTGACATGGGTATATGAACACATTCAAGCCGACCCACAAAACCATACTCCAACATGAAGTTCACTGTCACTAGTGATGCGAGCATGGCCCTCGGCTATTTATTGTATAAAACTAATAGCCAAGAGGTTGTCTTTTTTGAGAATGAGGACATCATCTCTCTTGTGTGGATTTAAGTCTCGAAGCCTTTTCTGGGAATCACGAACCATCTTCGTTCCCACTTGCTTTCTCTCTTCAGCCTTCCAATTTCTGTTTTTGACAACCTCTCATCAACTCGTCTTTTTGAGCCTCAAAGCCTCTGAATGTTGGAACTTGAAACTATACTTTGACCATACTTGGGAATGAAATCAAACCAACAAAAATTTATGCACAGATTGTGCTTACTGTAACGCAAATTTAACTATTTTCGTATTTACTAAGAAAGGTTAGTTATAACTTTAAAATTATAAAAAAATATATATAAGTTTTCAATTTTACCATTCTTTACTATTAATATCACAAATAAATTATTGTTTGCAAATTCAAACCATGATAAATAAATAGGGTAAAATTGAAAAATAAAATTAATTACTTTAATTTTACCTTATATTAGAGATAAAAAAAGCTTCTAATTTTTTTTTGTATTAAATACAGCAGACAGGAGGGAGTAGCTTTTTTTATTATTATTTCTAAGAAAATTTTAGTGAATTAAGCGACCAATACGATGTTCAGACTAGAGTAGGTTTTGCAATAATTCAAAGAAAACTTATAAACAACTTCCAGCATCCCTATTTACTTGTTGTCATGGGCAAACATGTACAGACCAATAAGAAAACAAAATCTATATACTGCAATGTAAGAATTATTTTTCTTTTTTGGTTTTACTCTTCATTAAATATTGCACTATTTAAAATCTTAACTATTTCCACACAATACCTTAGCTTCCATCTAACACGGATATTGTTAGAAACATGTTTACATGATATATATTTAGGGACAAAATGAAAATTCAAATCATGACAAAAAAATAGGAACAGGAAAAATAAATATCAATAAATAGTTAACGATACTACGTATTATAGTCCAGGGACAGTAGTTATTAACAAGATCATCGTATTGGTAATACAACTCATTCTCACATTGTTATAAAAAAGTCTTACATTAGATAGAGTTACCTCTAAAATACTCTTTAAATGTTAGAGGCAATAAATAGTTAAAGGACCTATTGATAATATACACATTATTAGGTCATGGAGACAAAATATTTCCTAATCAGAGGGTTAAGAGCTCATGGACGACCTCACGCAGCAGGAGGTCGAAGATTTTATGCTCAAGAAGCATAGAAAATTCCTCACGACACTCACTACCAAACGTGCCCTTTCGACCAACACAATCAAACATTTCTACATCGTTTTCTGCTAATTTGCGAAGCTTGGCCATTATTTCTGAGCATTCCTCTGTTTGACTTTTCTGATTGCTATTGCTTCCTCCTCTGTCTTGCACGCCTTCACACAAATATCTCTCACTTGAAGATTCTCTCTTTGACTTTGAGCACCATCCCTTTGTTTCATCTGCTAAAGTTTGATTAGCATAATTAAAAAAAATTCATTTAGTGATTTATTTACATAAAAGAGCACATATAGTTCACGCCCTGTTGTTTTAACTAGTTTACACTGCTGTTTTAACTTTTCTTTCATTTATAAAAATCTATAATATGCAAAAACTTGTCATAATTTTTTTACTTACAGAATTTTGATAAATTCAAGCATAATTTATTTTTTGTATTGATAGAGAAAAGTTAAATTACAACACGGGGCCACATTCTTGTTTATTAATTAATATGTTAGGGACAAAAATATTATGACTTTTTAATTTACTATATTAATGATAATTATTTGGGCGGGCGCAGTTCTAAATTCTAATGACTTCTTTCATTAATTAATATGCAGAAATAAAGTTACAAAATTTTAAAATTTAATGATAATTTTTTATAATGAATGTTAAATTTTACCAGATGTGAACGTAACTTCATTTTTCGAATGCATTATAACTCTAATTATTTAAATTTAAGATCTATAAGATTTGCTTTGAAAACAAGCATAGGTTGTCCAAATTTTATGAAAAATGTATTTTTAATAAGAATATTATAGGTTCCATTTTGAGTTAAAATTTATATAAATAAAAAATAAATTTAGTTTTGATCGCAGTAATAAAGCATTATGAACTCAGAGATCAAACCTGTGAAGTTGGTTTTATTCTGCAACGGGAAGTCTTCGTCATCACCTACATCTAAAACTGAAACCGGACTGAGATTTTCAGAGCAGCTCCCATTCTGCATCTTCTTCAACGACTTCTTGCTTCTGACCTTCTTTCTGAAGCTGGGTTCAACAAACGCTTCCTTCATCCCAATTCTCGGACTCAAACTACTTGACCCGCAATTCCTTGTGCGTGTCGAAACAGAGACCCTTCTAGGCTCATTCTTCAGCTTCGAAATCTTCTTCTTCTTCGTTCCTTCATTCTTTTCCTTCCACTGTTTCTTCGATTCTTTCAAACCCACTTGCTGTTTCTTCGTGCTGTGCCGAACAACTTCACTTGGCTTCGATTCGCGAGCGGCCTTGTTGATATCTTCTTCCCACAAGAAAACGACAACGTCGCTGTTCTTCTCCGGCGGAAACGACCGCGTCGTCGTGTAAGCAGACGACGACGCAGGAATCTCTCGAAACGACGACGTTCTGACTCGGCGGTGATGGCTGCCTTCTGGATGGGCGGGATCGAACTGGAGCAAGTAATCGAGGAAGTTAACGGACTTGCTTCGGGGAACCGAATCGGGTGCGACCCGGGAGTTGTTTGGAAGCGAGTCTAAGCCCATGAGTCTGGCAACTACATTGGGGGTAGTAGGAACTGGATTAGACTTGTTTGGGAGGGAAGGCAGTGTTTGGAGAGGAGGAAAATGTTCGGACGGGTGGATAGGAGGAGCATTGGTGGAATGAGCACAGAGAAGGAGGCGAAAGAAGCGAGAGAAGCATCCTGATTTTGCGACTTCGCGGTTTTCAGCCATATTTCCAATCTTCCAAACGCGACCTTAAAGTGGCTGCGGAGGAACAAAGGAGAACGAAATTGGTACAAGGTGAAGCAGAGCAGTGATGACTTAAGTTGAGAATGAGAATGTTGAAGGCTTAAAAGAGAAGGATCTTTTTCCTCTGGGTCAATTACGTCTAAGGACCCTCACTCAACAAGAATTACAGCTGTGTGAACAACAAGGTACAAATAAAAGATATGAATTCCAACGTAAAGTTTAGTCTAAGGCTAGTTTGTCATGAGGTAATCAACTGATATTTAAATTTTTATTGGTAGAAATATTTATATTTAATACGTCACCTTGCTGAATAGCATTAATTTAAAAAAAAAAATACTTGTAAGTAATAAAAAAAAGTATGAATTTTATGAATGTTTCAAATCTTCTTAATGAGTGTCTACACTATATCTATATGATTTCATTAACACTTAAAATTCATCATTGACAAAAAATAAATGAAACAATGACTTTAATGATAGTTATATACAAACACATTTTCAACTATCTTCCTATAGTCATAACAACTATTGGATTAAGATATGTGTATGTCACAATTGAAGATAAAATTGTGATTCATATTCATTGTTTATATTGTATCAATTAATGTAGTGATTTGAGTGAATCATTGATCTTTATAACGTCACATAAAATAGTTATTAAGTAAGAGGATTTGAAATAATCACCAAATTCAGATCAAAAGTAAAAATTGCTTATTATGTTAAGATAATTTTCTTTTTTGGAGTGATAGATGCATAACTCTTATAACAATGTGTTCATTGATGTATTACTATGAGAGAGTTTATTTTCATTTGGCCACTTTGTGAGAAAGGGTTGGGTGAAAGCAAAAGCCGCATATTTTGGATTTTACGGCACAAGTGAAATGGATAAAATGTCAATAAAAAAGGAAAGAAAGAAAGAAAGATTTAAAAACGAGGTACAGCTATTATATTATATGTTTATACAAATCAATAAAATCTTAATACAATTGATTTTTTTGGCTAAATAACACATTTCAATTTTTTTTTTGGATTTGATAATGCATTTGAATTTAATACTGTAGTACCCCCCCCCCCTAAAAAAAATTCAAAGCATTATCTATCACACATGACAAAAAAAATGAATACTATTTAATAAGTGGAGCCAAAAAAAATGAGACTGCTATATAATGACTGGATTTTATAAAACATTTTTTTAGTTAAAATTAAATTAGGTGGGCTCTCGAATTTGAACAAGTCCTACGGTTCAATAATGGGAACAATGTTATTTATTACGAATTTAATATTCAATATTTGATACTATCAAAATTTAATATTTATTACAAATTTGAACATGCCTTGATAGGTCCAATAACTCAACTCAACTAGTCTCAACCCTTTTATATTAAAAAAACAAGAAAAGAAAAGGGAGATTGTAATATAAAATGTTTTAGAAAAAAATGATAGCAAAATATGTTTGAAGTATGCAAATGATAATTAAGTATAATAAATTGTGATAATTATTTTAATCTTGATAACTTGCCTAATATTTTTGTGTTTTTTGTAAAATGGCATATTTGCTCCTGTTTTAAAATTTATTAGTGAAACCTAACAACTAAAAATCAGTTATTATTTTTTAAAAAAATAATTAGAATGAAATAATAAATTACTAATTACTCGATGCAAATTTTTATTATTTTCTTTTAGGAGATGACTAGTTTTCTTGGAGAAATGATGAGAATAAAATAATAAATTACAAGTTTTGATGGTGATAAAGAAGGGTAAAATGTCTTTTCACATTAAAATTAATTGACATATAAGTTTTCAAGAATTAAAAAATAATCACGGTCATTTGATTTGGGGGTATTTTTCTGTCATTTTCTCAATGTTCTATAAAAAAGAAAAAAGAAATGAAATAAAGGAGGGATGATGGTCCTTGGGTTCAGTTCGGATCCTCTGCTAATCCCTGTTCTCGTTTCCTTTTCCACATCCTCGTCTTCACCTTTAAACAACAAAATGAATAGTCCAGATTTATTTGTTTTATAAAATAATTATCATATTATCATATAAAATAAAAATAAATTTAAACTATTAAATTTTGACTCGCACAATTTACAATTGTATGCTGTTATTAAAATTTTTATTTATTTTATTACAATTATAAACTATGTAGATTAAATTTTTAACAGTTTAGAATTATTTACTTATTTTTAATATAATATTATGATGATTGCTTCATAAAATAATTGAATCTGAGCCCTTATTTTTTAACCAAAGGTGGAGATGGGGATGAGTAAAAGAAAGGAAGAGAAGGGATGAGGAGAGGATCTCCTTCCCGTTAGGTTCGCACTATAAACAGAAGGGATCTGGGTAGGCCAGAGTGTACGGATTTGTCTGAGAGTTGAAACTTCCGTGTAAATGCTGTGCCATGTACACTTGACTCTTACTCGCATTTTTTAACATTCAACCCTTTTTTTTATTTTGTTGAACACTAATTAATTACTACAGTCATTGGACAAAACTACAGCTCTTGTTTCATTTTAACGTCAGCCCCCAACATATGTCATTTTACCTAAAATACCCTTCTTTTAAATATAAAATTAATAAAGATAGTTTGAAAATAAAAATGAAAATGAAATAAAAATTAAAGGTGTAGTAAAAAATTAATAATCAAGGAGGGGGGGGGGGCTAACGTGTAATTAATAGTAAAAGATGTGGTGGAAAGGTCGGAGAAAGAGAGAGCGTGTGAAACATGTCTTGCCATTTTAGAACAGAGTGAGGCCGAAGTTGCTGACTTTAGCTTTCAAATGTTGAAAACCATGTGACTCCCCACACTTGTCCCTTCTACCGACTTTCTTGACTTTCTTCCACTTGGGCTTTTATTCTTCTGGCCCACTATGGCCTCTTGGCCCATTCGCCATAACTTTATAAATTACAAGCAAGATATAAATACTAATCCTTATAGTTTTATAAATTTCCTTTTTTTGTTTTGTTGTTTTAGATTCTTCTAGTTTATCCCACCCTGGCACAAATATCAATGATAATAGTCATATGTTAACATGTTTAACATCACTAGTCCTACCTCTTTATCCTTTTTGACATGTTCAAAAATAAAGAGACCAATAATGTAGATGAGATAAGCTATTAGGGCGACTGGAGCAACAAAAAAAGCTATAGGAGCCAGATCAAAATGCGTTAAAACTATAGTTTTAATTTTAGTCTTTTAATTTTATAAAATGTCTTTCTAATCCTTTAATTTTAAGATTGTTAGTTTCATCAATAAAAAATTTTTAATTGAAATTTTAAATATTTACAAAATAATTTCAAATGTTAATATATTAAGTCTAATTTTTTAAAATAGAAATGATTGATAAAAGAATTAATCATTTGAGACAACATTGTTAAAGTTAGAAGACTAAAAAAATATTTTGTAAAATTAAGTGAATAAATTAAAATTGTATATAAAATTAGAGAATAAAAAGTACACTTTAGCCTTTGTTATTTCAGAACAAACCATATTGCACTAATTCAATTGGCATGAGTAGTAGGATTTTTCGTCCCTGAGTGTTTATCGTATTTACTTAACGACATTTGTGTACCAATAAGTGATGCTCCTATAAAAATTTAAAAATAGATCACTTGAAGGCATGCTATTATATAATTGTGCAATTTTTAATTATTTTAAATAAAATGTTGCAAAGTAAAAATTAGATTCATGCAACCATACAATTATGAAATGTGATAAAAGAAAAATGGGCGAACTGCAAAAATGAAATAATCACACTACCGGTATATTTAGTTTGAGGGGTTTGGAAGGGATTTCCCTCCTCTCATTTGATTAAAAAAAATTTGAGGGAAGGAGAATCAAAGTTTCACCTCTCCTTCCCTCATTTTGATTCCTTTAAATTAAGGTTTTTTTTTTTTTTTTCAGAGGAGCCAAATGTCTTGATTAATTTATTTTCATATATTTTATTATATTCCACAACTTGCTCTTATTATTGTGCAGGACTGATCCCTTTATGGCTTTATTGCTGTCGCTGAAACTCATCCCACTAGCATTTCTCGCCATCATTTGCCCGTCAAGTCACCTCCATTGTCCTTCGTATTGCAGTTTCAAGTCGCAGAGAGATATTTTCAAGTCACTCTCATTAGCCGTTGCTTTCATGTTAAATCTGATAGTCTGGTCTCCGATTATGTGTGGCGCCTTTTTTGTTATAATTCAAACAGTAACTGAGCGTGTTGAAACTTATAGCTCCATTGATATGGTTGAGAAAGTTGTGAAAGACGAATTGCCAAAACTAGAGAACACGAGTGCGAAGAAGGCGGACAGAGAAGAAGAGTTCGTACTTTGATGTCCATGCACTAATTTTGAAAGTATAATACAATCACAATGGGATGGGTCAAGATTTTCGTTATTTTCATTTTATGAAGATATATTCCTGCCTGTAGTTAATTTAATTGGATAGACATTTTCATTCTTTTCATTTTTTCAGCTGACCAAAAAGCATTGAAAAGATAATTGTGGGTTATAGAATTTGTTTATGGTGTAAATTAATGGGAAAACCATTTTGCTGGTATCCATAGTTTCTTTCAATTTTTAATTTGGTACCTCTACTTCCCCCCCCCCCCCAACTTTCCTTTGTTAAAGGCGTTAGCCCTTGTAGAGTGCAAAATTGCTTGAAGGACAAACAGCAAAGAAATGACATTAAACCAAGCTCAAGCTTCTTCGCACTGTGGTCTCTCCTCCTTCTTGTTCTTACTTGGCCTTCGTGCTCCAACTCAAGCTTCTCTGCAATGCTGAGGACCTATACCAGAAAAATAGAGACACCATGCATCAAAAGCTTTGCATCTTTATAAACATATACGCACCTTTTTCCTATTGTAGCATTGTTATCAAAGCTAAGTGAACAAGCTATGAACCAGATATTTTATTGTATTTTGCATTTAACCCTTGCTACCAGCCAAGCCTCTAAGCCAAAGTCAACTCAGAGTATCTATGGAAATGTGAGTCGAAACAAGATCCAAAATTGGTTAAGGAAAAAAACAAATGTTGATTATCTTTGCCGGAAGAAGAAGAGAGATCAAGTGAGGCAGCCTCCCAAAGACATGCATAATGATGTGAGGCAATGAAGACGTGAGAGAGTCATCAAGTTTATGAATGGGCTTTTCTTCTAGCAAAAACCCATCGAGTGAGAGGCATTGATGGCCTCGTTTAAGGCTTGTTTTCAAAAGAAGGAGCCTCTATGCGTAAGTGCAGCAGGAGGACTCGCGAATTTCACATATCTTTCCTTCCAAAAGTCCTTAGTGTCCCCCTAGGGATGTGCATTAGCAATGAACTTAAGGTTCTCAATATCTGGATCGTCCCTCTTGTTTCAGTAACCTTAACTCTCTCCCCTTCATCTCCTACAATTCTTTCTTAGTGTGCTAGAGCTCCTCTTTCAATGACTGGATGCAGTGAGACATGGCTTTCTTCGGGCTCTATTTTGCTTTTTGGATCTTAGCCCTCAATTCAACTTCCCTAGATTGAACATTCCCAGTCTCACTTTGGGCTGCTTGCATCTAGTCAGCTAAGATGAAATGAAGGTGAATAAGGGAGCATGAAGACAGAAAGAAAACAAGGGAGGGGATGAGAGAGAACCTGTTGAAACTTGGGAGCATAGAGTTGCCTATCTCGTGATTGTAGGTTGCCTAGTTGCATGAACAAAGATCACGAATCACCCTATCTCCAGTCGCACGTGAACCCTTCCCCTTTTTGGAATTTCTAGTTTAGCATCATCTTCTCCTCCGTTCACCTTCAGGCAATTTTCCAATCAGAAGGGCTAACATCTTTAGTGGAGGAAATAGAAAGAGAAAAACGTAGAGGTACCAAATTAAAATTTGAGGGAAATTATAGATACCAACAAAATGATTTTTTCCTAAATTAGTTTATATAAGATAAAAGTTATAAATATAAAAAAAATAATATATATAAATATAATAGTAATTTAGTTATAACCTCTCCTCTTCTATCCTCTTGAACTAAATATAAAATATTATTAAAAACTCCTTCCCCTTTTCCTTCAATAAAACCAAACCCCCTCCTTCAACCCGAACACAGTCCAGGGAAACCACATGTAAAATTTGGAATAAAAAGTGCGCACGCGGGGATGGACGAGTAGTAGATCAAGAGAGAACATGTGGGTCACCTTGAAAGGCAATAAGGTTCAAATTTAGGTACACTACTATATTACGTCTTCCTTAAAATTTTGACTACACATGATAATGGTGCCACCACTACTAGAACAATTAAATTTGACGAGGGACTCTAAATGTTATTTTTTGTAACTAAATTATATTTTAACTATAAATTTTGTCCCTCGCTAAATTCATAACTAAAAAAAAAAGCTCGCTAAATTTAACAAGAAATTGTATTTTTCCTCGTTAATTAGCGAGAGATTTAGCGAGGGATTGAATCCCTCGCTAAAATTAGTTAGGGACTGAATCCCTCGCTAATCACTCACTAAATATGCTTATATTTAAAAATAATTATACCACATCATCGGCTATGTGTGATGTCAACTTGTAACATGTCATCAACAAGCTTTATTAATCACCATGTCACCTACTATCTCGTGCCCTATCACTCACCACATGTGTGACAACTTATGACATATCATTGTCCACCTTGCACCATGTCACTTATGCCTTACCATATCATATATTCATCATGTTTATACCAATGTCAAGGTTTGAACCCTTGACCTCATACCTTCTAAGCTTTATACTCTCCTTCTTTACCAGTTGAACTAAAAGGCACATTTAAGCATTATATGATAAATTAAATATATATATATATATATATTATATAACTACATAAATATATTAAATAATATATTATAAAAATACACACATATACATATTAAATTTTATTTTCAATTATTAATATGTTAAAAATATTTATATTTTATTTAAATTATTATTTATATTATATTTTTAATAAAAATTTATTTTATTAATGAAAATCAACTTAAAATAAAGAAAATATTAAATAATTTTATTATAAATATTTTAGTTAATTTTTTAAATTTAATTATTATTTTTAAATGAAAATAATTAAATGTATAATTAAAAGTTATTGTCAAAAGGTAATTTTTTTTAGTAATTAACTAGGGATAGAATCCCTCGCTAATTATTTTATTTTAGAGAGGGATTGACAGTTCCTAACTAAATTCCTCGCTAATTCTCTTATTTTAGAGAGGGAGTAATAGTCCTTCGTTAAATCCCTCACTAATTCTCTTATTTCAGAGAGGGATTGACAGTCTCTCGCTATTTTTCTCGCTAATTCTCTTATTTTAGAGGGGGATTGACAATTTCTCACTAATTTTCTCGCTAATTTTAAGTCAAACTACGAAATTAATATCCCTCGCTAATTTCCTCGCTAACTTGGTATTTTAGAGAGGAATAGATAATTCCTCGCTAAATTTTCTCGCTAATTTGCATTTTTCTAGTAGTGCACCTCAACTTGGCCTTTTCCAATCATATTTATCATATTTTTTAATTAAAACATTTAATATTAACATATAAAAAACTAATTATTTATCATTAAGTTTTTAAGTTTAACTCAATTATCATTATTTTAACTATTAAAATGTTAATCTCTTAATTTTAAGGGATAAACTATAAAATTTGCCCTTAAAATTTTTTTTGGAAATGTAATTGATATTTTAAAATATTTAAACGTGCAATGTGACGCATTTTTCAAAATCCAACGATTGACAAAAGATTTTTGTTGACCGTTAACCTTAGTAGTCTGACCGTGATTCTTAAATTTGGCACGCCACATCAGTGCCACGTCAGTTAGCCTCGGTAGCTGGGTCCACGTGCGTTCCATTATTCCCGTTCTCCTCCGTCATGGTGTTCTCAGTCCTCCGACTTGGTGTTCTTCACGTTCTCCTCCATCAACGCAAGCCATCCTCCTCTTGTTCCCCTCTCCAATTTCAATCTTTCTTCCGTCTCTCTCAGTGTCGTTATTCAAAGTGGGTTTCGAAAAGCCACTCTCTTCTGAAGCAAAATGGAGGTAACGATTCTCAGATCAAGCAAATCAGATCGCTTATGCTGGTTCGCCCACACAGGTCTGCTTTCATCGCGTTCTTCACGTTCAAAGATCTGAATATTTTCTGCAAGCCCCGTTGTGTACCCAGATCCCTCCTTTCTTCAACGCCGCTATCGAACCTGTTCCCTTCGTCGCCTCTCTCACCGAGTGAAGGGATGGCCGTCTCCCCAAATCGCTTGCTTCAGGTCAAGCACGACGGCTGGTGGGTCACCGTCGATCCAGCTTGTCTTTCTAGGTTCGTCCGTTCTCCATCTCAATCACACATCGATATGCTGATTTTCACATGATTTTGATATTATTAACCTTCTAATTTTTCTGAAATTGTTCAGATTTGTTTCTTCGATGTTTTCGAGGCTTGGCTTGTCCACATCGTTTGACTCTAGTTGATCAAGATTCAATGTGGGTGGAATTTTGCCATGGAATCGATGGTGGGACTGGGAACTGAGTAAATCTGGTGAAGAATGGGTTTCACAATTAGAAAAAAAAAAATGAGTCACTAATCATGGAAAAAATGTGACAAGGATGCAAACTAGTGGATATGCTGAGTCTGGAAAAAAAATATCAGGGACGTACTTTAATTCAAGTTTTAATAATAATTTATTTTTTATTATATTATTTTTAAAATATAAGGATCATCATTTTAAATAAATAAAATGATAAAGAATAAATTACAAAAGTAAAAGTTTATTAAATATGTCTTAACTGAATTTAAATTATAAAAGTTGAGTTATATGAAGTTAAAATTTAAAAATTAAATAAAATTATAAAAATTAAATGGTACTGTTAAATTAAAGCAAACATCCATTGTTTTTTCAGAAAATGAGGCCTCATGTAGTATTTTTATCAAATTTTACTTTCCTTCTTTCTCCTACTCTCCTTTAACAAAAATAACATATTATGCCTCATTTTTTTAAAAAATAAATAATGGATGTTTGCTTTAATTTAATAATAGGTGAATTGCATCAACTTAAATTATTTTAATTTAAAATATATTAAATAAGAGTTTAGAATTTAGATTGCTCCTAAACCTATAATTTATGATACAAATTTTGTATTAACTCTTTTTAAAAAATCACATTACAATTCAACTAATTCTATACGAGATTTATTTTTTCAAAAATCAGTTATTACTTTTTTAAAAAATTAATTTTGATCGCATGCATATTACGAGGCTACTGTTACAAAACCATTGACAATCAACATTAATCTAAACGCATTTTTCTACCAGCCTAATCTAAACACATCATATCTGGTGTGGAAAACTATAATAAATAGCCAAGGAGATGGGAGGATATTTTTTTTTTTTTTAACACAATCATCCATTATTTATGAGCCAAGCAATCATATTGACAGAAAGTTCCCTCAACAAATATTTAACACAGTTACATACCAAATTTCATAGTATAATAAGTAACCAAGAGATGAGGTGTAAGATAAAGTTCAAATTAACACACTAATCTATATTTTAAAAATAATTAAGAAGAAATTTTTCTCGTAAAAAATTTCACATAAAATGTTAGTCACACTAAAATAGGAAACTGTATATCATAAAAAAAAAAGGAAATTGTGTGAAATCATATGATTAAAAGTTATTTAAATTGCTTGTCTATGTGTGCCTACATTTTTGTAACACGTATTTATAAAAATATTAAAATATTAAAAAACATTTTTTATTTTTGATATATATAATATTTTTAAATTTCTAGTTGATGCTTTAGATGCAACACTTCAAAATATTTCTTTAATAAATTAAATTTTATAAAAGATTTTTATATTAATCTTTTTATTCCTAATATATTTATATGATTTTATTTTAAAAGTAAATATTAAAATTATTTATATGATTTTATTTTAAAAGTAAAGATTAAAATTCTAAAGAAAACAGGTTTCTTATGTTTTTAAAATAAATATTTCATTTATTTGTTAATATATTATATTATTCACTTTTAAATATTTTCATTTTAGGTTGTACATTAGCTTTTTGATGTTTTATTTTATTTCAAAATATTTTATGATATGCAAAAAATAATATTTAAAATAAAATAATTAGATTCAATATATACTCTAAAAAAATATAAGGTATTTTTTAAAAAGTTAGATATTTAAAAATGTAAGGCATTTTTAATCTTTTGAGGTGTAATCATTGCTTCTTTTTTAAAAGTACCCCTATTGATAAATGCTTTTATATTTATTGTAAGGTGTTTAATAGGATAAATATAAAAAAAAATTAGTTTGAAAGTAAGTAACTACTTTATTGAAAGATGAGATTCAATTAAAAATACCTTATATTTTTTAATATAGAGAGTATATATTTGATGTGTTTATCTTTTATAAGCATACAAGCATGTACTCTAGATATATAGTATTTTATATTTGTTATAAATAAAATTATAGTATTTATCATATTCAATTAATCCACCATCTACTCCCTCCATTTAAAAATATAAGGTATTTTTTAAGGAGTTGGATATTCAAAATGTAAAGTATTTTTAATCTTTTAAAATGTAATCATTGCCTTTTTTTTTAAATTGCCCTTATTGATAATGACTTTACATTTATTATAGAGTATTTAATAGGTGTAAATATAAAAAGATAAGGTTTGAGAGGTGAGATTCAGTTAAAAATGTCTTATATTTTTTAATAGAAAAAGTATCATGTATTATAAAACATGGTTGAGGGCTTAACAATTAGGAGGTTTTTTTTACCAATATACTAAAACCAGTAAAAAAAATTATTGAAATGATGGACCGTGAAAAATATTTATCCAAATGCTATAACGAAAATCATTTATATCGAAAACGAGTTTGTGAGTATAAAGAAATCATTCAAACAAAAAATGATTTTATAATTAAAAATTATTTTTTTAATAAATGAAAAGTAAATGGTTCACTGTGTAACCGATTTCAACTTTTTTATTGAAGTGACAATACATTCATTGTTCACTGTGAGAATATCTCCTTTCCTTCTTGCTTTGCTTTTCCTACATAGTTTATTTAAACATGGGATAGATAGCTGCTTACGTTTGTTAATGCTCCTCCAACACTCGAAAAGTTTGATAAAACATTTGAGTCCTTGTAATGGTATTGAGGACATATCTAACAATGGATCCAACATATTAGTAGTGATACTAGCTATGTGGTAAGTTTTTCACATTCTTTCATTAATACCATTAAATAGGAGTGGGTGAGTTGAAAAGCAATGATAATGAGGGTGGTACGTAATGAGGCTCAAATTGAATAGGATTGGGGGTGATGAAAGGAGGTGATGATAATAATAGGCTAGCATGTAATGAGATTGACTAACATTTTGAGACTCTTGTTTCCATACATTTTCATTTTTAATTGGTGGTTGGGTAGCTAAATAACTATCACATCATTTGCTCAATCTATCTTGAGAAATTTATAAATGAGGCAATTCAATTCTTGATAGAGTATGTTGAGAGTTCCTATTAAATTATTATTCTCTCATTACAAGTTAGATATTGCATTAGTCGTGAGCAATTCTATCTTAATAATCAATGTAATGAGAGCATCTTGAATAAGAATTAATCATTAGTCAATATAAATCCTCTATTATGTTAGCCTAAAAACAGTAAAACATTATTATATTATAACAATTTTTTATAAAGAAAAAAGATGGTACTAACGAAAGAAGGTGAAAAACTTATCATATCATATACTTAAGATTACTACTAATATGTTAGATCCATTGTTGGGTATAATACCATTGCATGTACTCAGATGTTCTATCAAACTCAAAGGTTGGAGGAGCATTAACAATAGTAAATGACTATCTATCCCATATTTAAATGAATCATGGAAGAAAAGTAAAGCAAGAAGGGAAGTAGAGATTTTTATAATTAACAGTGAATAAAATGTCACATTAATAAAAAAGCTAAAATTATTCATTCAATGGATAATTTCACTTTTCATTAAATAAAAAAATAATTTTTAATTATAAAATTATTCTTAACCTGAACGATTTATTTGTAGCAACAAACTCGCTTACAATATGAATAATTTTTATTTGGCTAAAATAAAAGAATAATTTTTAGTATAATATTTGGGTAAATATTTTTGACTGTGCAGCATTTTATTTTTATTTTTAAAAAAGCCCGAGTGAGGTAAAAATAACAACACAAAACGACAGAATCTTGTAAGGATTAGGTTGGTCTTCGTCACGCATTGAAAATATTCGGTGGTGGTAGACGAAAATAAATGAAGACCAGAATTTTTAAAGATAAAGAGAAGATAACGTAAGAGAATGACGTGGCATGAAATGAATGGCTTAAAAATCGAAACACCAAACCTAGTTTTGGCTAGCACAGCTCATGTGGTAGTAGTGGTCTAGTGGATGCACGGTACTGTTGTCACAACTCAACCACACAGTGCTGTCCAGTTCTCTTATGCCCGCACACGCGCGGGCTCGCACGTCTCTCTCTCTCTCTCTCTGCCATCCCCACCGCCTCAATCAAGGACCGTGACAGTCTAAGGCATAGGATAAAGATAATTTTGCTGGATATGGAGAAAAAAGAGAGGTAAGATGGGACGTAATAGTGGGACTTATATAGTAAATTTCGGATGGTTAATTAATGTTATACCTACTTTTGTTTATAATATATTTTCAATCAAATTATACGTAGTAAAAATGTGGTTAAAATCAATTGACAGTTGTGATTTTTTTCAAATTTTTTTACAAAATTATCAAATCATCTTTAATTAAAATTATTAACTTTATTTTTAAATCTTAAAATCATGTCACTTAAAATGATCAATTGGGTAAGCAGATTTTTGGAAATTACTCATTAATATTTCATTAAATTTGATAAGATATCTTATGCCAAGCACAAAACAAAACTGCGCAGAAAGTGTCTTTTATCAAGAATGGAATGAAGTACAGAAATAGGTCTGCTCTGTGAAGGCAGTAGAAAACTAACAGGGAAGAGCTTGGGTTCAAAACACACCTACTTATGGTAATAGCTACTAGAATAGAGTCATTTAAACATTGAGTGAGTTTTTGTATTTATTTTTATTCAGGGCATATTAAAAAATAAATAAATCGTTTGCCTTAGATATGAGATGAGACCTACCCAAGAAGGTGCCATTTCTGTTGTGAAAAACAGTTCGTGGTTTTGATGGACATATAAACGTGGAAAACGAATTATTACGGGAAACACATTGTCATTTCATTGACGAAAGTCGAAGAATGTGATAGCAGTATATATCAAAGTAGGTGTGGGGCCCAGCCTAAAAGCAGGAAATCTAAATAATCTCAATACTTTTCATTTATCCGGCATTGATTACCTATTGGAAAGGTATATCTCATGTCCCTAATGAAAGTTACCCACCTAATTAGGTCACATCAATTCTCCTCTAATTTTTTGCACTATCTCAGTGTTTCCACACTCGCTCAACGGAATATCGCAATGAGTGGACAGGGACAAAATAATAAAAATAAAATTTAAGTTTAAACCCATAATTGACTAGTTCAGAATTTAAATATACACTCTTTAAATTTAAAAATATATTTTAAGTCTAATAAATTTTTAGGTTGAACCCATCCCATCTAAACTGAAAAAAAAAGTTTTTAAAAATATATTTGAAGTTAATTTCAATTCTCATTTTTTTATTGGTAAAATTTATATTCTTAATCTTATATAATTAATATACCTATATATAATTTAATCAAAACAAATAAATTTTAATATCCTAATGATATTAATAACAAAAAGTTATTATTGAAAAAAAATTGTCAATGATCTATTTACATTGATTTAATTAAAAACAAGTATGTCATTATATAATTTTTTTTATTACGCAAATATATTTTCTATTGAAGACAATATCATTTAAAATAGACTTGAATTTTAAATGCAAGCAATTCTTCCAATAATAATCCAAACTTAATACAAATTGTTTCCTTAATTGCTCAATTCAAAATATAATTACATACAAGCGGGATTTTTATTGTTCAATTATGCTATTGAAGTTTGATCAATACATTATTAATTTGATGAAGATTTCTCCTTCATCATCATAAATAAAATAAGAATAGTGATTTGATCGCAAATTTGACTCGGCCCATCCGAGGGTACTGCAAAAGTGATATACCATTATCGTACACTTGAGTTCTAATGTGATAAAAAAATTACTAAAAAGTAAATGGACAGAAATAACAGTTTATCTCCAGCTGAAAAAAAAAAATATTGAGAGATTCATCCAAAAGATTTGATGAATTACACCATATTTTTCTGGGTAAATAATCAATGTGTGACTTCCATCTTCCAAGCGTTAACATCTTCAATGTCAGCATTCACAATCAAATCGGAGAGCCACCTCAATTCACCTCACGAACTATTTCTGAACTCCAAAATCAAGCGCTGCAGAAACTCCATGAGAGCACAGGCTCAAGCACAGCACAGCCCAAGAAAATCTTCAGTGAAACACTGTTTCATAGCTCATAACAGTAAGATACGAGGCCTGAGTTGAATCAATGAGGTAGGTCGTCCGCGGTTTTAATTTGATTTAGAAGACCCACTGAGCTTAGGGTCAATTTGGTAGTACACCACGTCGCCATGGTCAGGAACATAATGGTCCTTCTTCAAGCTTCTTATCAACTCTCCAATAAGGTGAAAGGGTAAAGGACCGGATTTCTTTGGCTCTCTGTAGTATTTTCCGAGCACTGGCTTAGTTGCCTCAGTCTACAAGTAACACAAAATTGCAATACAAACATGACAAGTAAATATGCTTTTAGAACCTGATAAGTTGATCACAGAACTTGCAAGCAAACACAAGTTCATATAAAGAAATAAGAGGGGTTGGTAACTCACTGCTTCAATTAAGTGATAATGAGGGATTTGAGGAAAGAGATGGTGAATGACATGAGTTCCAATGTCATGGTGGACATTGTTAATCCATCCATAGTCACGATCCAGTGTTGTGAGTCCACCTCTCAGGTAACTCCATTCCTGTTTAACAAATCAATTATTGTGACGAACTTCTTTTGTTGAACTAAAATAAGATGGAAAAAACAGATAGAACAGCATTTTCCCAGAAAATGACAGAACCAGGAAGGGGAAGAAGGGAGGTAGATATGTTTGGTACCTTTCCTCGGTACCAGGGCAATTTGTCTTCATGGCCATGGTGATGCAAGTAAGTTACAAAATCCAACCACAAGACGAAGACCTTCAAAATTCCAAGAACAACCAAATCAGGACATTGTTGATGTTAAGAGAGAGAGAGAGCTAGAAGAAACCCATTCATGGTTAGCAATAAAGATATAGAGATTAATTACCCAGTATGGAACGACATAAAGCTTAAGCAATTGAATTGGACCCATAACAAAGCCTAATGCTACAAGCAAAGCAGCCATTGCTGTCCAACAAACTGTAGAAGTAATAACATCTTTTCCTTCACTTGGGACGAACAAGTCGCTGGCTGGGTGGAAGTGAGAACCACTTTTCCCAGGGCTCCTACTCCACTGAGTTCAAAGATGAAAACACAGTTCAATTCCTTTGTTACTCCAGATATAATGGCAACAAGAGTTCCAATTTCATTCTTCTTTAAGAAAAAGTTGCTTCAGGACTACACATCAAAGGGACAAACCACAACCAAAAGCTTTTAGGCAGAGAAACTCACAAGGTAGATAGGGTACGCAAGCATTGGAAATGGCGCTGTAAATCTCAAAACCCGCGTGATGATGTCCAAGTTCTTGTAAATCTTCTCAGGCAACTGTAAAATTAACATTTGAGAGCTTTAGGTTAGACACTGTAACTGTAACTGATGATAACAAGTTCAAATCAAATGAGAACTAGAAGAGGAGCTATTTTGGCTCACCGGGTGCCAAGATTCATCATTTTCTACATGGCCATGGTTTTGATGATGAGTCCTATGACTGATTCTCCTGTGTACATATTATCAGCAAAATACAAATTTCATAGTCAGAAGGTAATATAGTAAAAAGAGAGGACATTAAAAGCCATTCCTTCGGAGCATACCATCCATGATAAGGCACTAGAATGGAAGAATGCAAAAGATGCCCAACCACACTATTCAGCTTATGGTTATTTGAAAAGCTTCCATGACCACTAAAACATACAAGCAAACAAGAACAATAAAAACTTCAAATCAACCATCAATTTCAGAATCTAAACGAAATCAGAATGAACAAAGGAATATAAGGAGAGAAAAAAAGGATGAGATTGTTACCAGTCATGACCAAGAACAAACAGAGCCCAGAACATAGTTCCCTGAGCAGCCCAATACAAGGGCCAAACGAGCCAGTTATTCAAATAAGCCGCCGCCGCCGCCAATCCAAAAACGACAACAACATCCCTTACCACGTAGCTCATTGACCTCCAAGGATCCTTCACCCAGCAATGCTTAGGAATGGCTTCTCTGATATCAGATAACTTGAACGGTGGTGGAGCGCCAGGATCGAACACATTAACCTCATTGACTATCACCTCTTCTTCTTCCACAGGGGAAACCCTCAAAGGAGCGCTTACCCTAAGCTCCCAACTTCTCGTACCAGAAAAACCTGACGGGGAAAACTTCGGCAGATCTATTTTACCCTTGGATTTGTCTGCGTTAAGAAATCTAAGCCTCGATGGAGAATTGTACGGAGCCGCACCGACCCTGGGTTTAGGACATTTTAGAGGAAGAGGCTTAAAGCCACATTCTGATAGAACCCAACCTGCCATGGGAGACCCAGATGGAGCTTTGTAGACCAGGAGGTTGGGTTCCTAGACTCTTGGGAAGAAGATGATGGGTAGGAGAAAAAGGAGGAGGGTCACAGGAGAGAAGAAAATGAAAGAAGTGAAAAAGACAACAAATGGAAAAGTGATGTGAAAGAAGATATCTAGCAAACAAAATAATGAAATATTAGTAAATTCAATGGAAGAAATTCGAGATAACGCTTATCCCTCGAAAAATTGTCTGGGAATCACTGTTTCTCTGACACTGCTTGCAAGTGGCTGTCAGGGTTTAGAGAATTGGGGTCTCCTCTCTCTCGTGGTTGAGGTAAGGCAACGATGCCCCATTATAGTACTCATATATATATATATATGGGCATGTGGCTAAATACCATACGAGCATGTCTGTGGATGGAAGGAAGGTTGTATTGCCCAATGCCAACTGGGTCACGTTGGCTGTGATCGAGCCAATGAGCGAGCTTGTTTGATTATGGGCGCTTGCTCGCTTTGCCTGTTTTTTTGACCTGTCATCAATGTTTTTAAAATCAGTCTGAATACTGAACCAAAAAAAATCAGTGATTCATAATTTACATAATTCAGTTAGGGTTAAATTAATAATATAATAATTAAATTTAAAAAAAATTATATTTATATATAATAATTTAAATATAAAAATAAATATAAAATTGCTACTTAAATTAAAAAACCAACATTTTAAATTTATTATGATTTAACAAACTATATAATATACTATAACGTAAAATAATTAAAAAAATTAAATTTTAAAAAAATTGATAAAATATTTTTTTTAGTAGTCTAATTCTTAAAAACTAAATTTGATATTTGGTTCAATCGTCGGCATGAAACAGCCTGACCTGACACAACTTTCAAAATGATTTTTCACATATTAATTGAACCGAAATTCAAACCAATCTAACTGTCTAATGTAATTTTTAAATCACTGCCTGTCAATGTCATGCAAGAGGAAGCCCTTTCTTGATTTCTCACCCCTACCACACTGTACAAAAATGCATCAAGGGCATTTTCCATAAATTTTGTTTTATCTATAATTATTTTTTTTACTTTCTCCTTACTTTATTGATTATTATTTTTTAAAAATAATGCAATAAAATTTAAATGGTAATTAATAAGGTACTTATATAAAATATTTAATAGAAATATAATTGAAAAAATATAAATTTGCTTAAGAAATTAAAATTTCACCAAACTTTTTTTTAAAATCGTAAAATAATTACTAATGTTCTTATGCTGTGATCTGGGAATATTATTTTATTCAGTTAGGTATTTAACTTATAATTAGTCATGTTGAGGTTCATTTTTGTTTTAATTTACTAGTACCAGAATCCAAACTAAGGTCAAATCCTTTTTCAGCCAATACAAACCAAGATCAAAACCGGTCTCACTCAATCTGGCCCAAAGGTATACTCTCTTGATTTTTAACTGACCCCTCAATAAAAATGATTACTTTTCTTTAAATTAATATAATTTTTTTATATTTATTCATATTTAATAAAGTATTTTAGTTTAAAGTGATTTATTTATTAAGGGCATTTTAAAAAAAACACAATAATTATATTTTAAAATATTAAAAATATTTTATATATTTTAACATCAAACTTCTTATACTTTTTAACTGTAGAAGTACATTTTTCTTCTTTAAAAAAACTGTGAAAGCTAATAATTTTATAATATCATATTTTTTGGTATTTTTTTCTTTCTATGATTATCATGAACATTTTTATGATGTATTTTGAATGAGCACAAATTATTATAATTTTTAAATTTTAATAATATATGGAAGATTGAAATAATAGATAAAATGGGAATTAAAGGATTAAAATGATGCAATAAATAAATTAAGAATAAAAAACATAAGCATAAGACGTATGAAGGACCCTGGTTGGGTGATTTACATTGTAGATGCCGTATAATTGTAATTGATGGGTCGGCAATACTTTGTCACGGACAAACAAATTGTGACTCACGTGATGGGGTATTTATTGAGTTTCTTCATTTTTCACATTTTCTTGACTAATAATTATTGGGGAAGAATTTTGAAACACTATATAGTAAAAATAAAAAAGGGATAGTAAATAATGTTTCTCTCAACATATTAAAAGCAATGTTACATCTCTCTAAATTAAATTACTATGTACATAAGAGTTGAGATTAGAAATCTTAATCATTTGCTTAAATAATGAGTCTTTTCTATTCATACTAATTTTAATTGGAAGAAAATTAGAGTCTTGATTGATGAATAGAAAACTTCAAAGCCCTTATCAATAATGGAGGCAAATTTCATGAATAGAAAATGTCATTGGGATTTATTAATTTTATAAATTTTTTTTTCTTTAATACTTAGCATCATCAGTTTCAAATGAGTATTTTTTATATTAATTATTATTATTTAAAAAATTAAATTTAATATATTAACATTTTAGAATATATTGTCAATATTTATAATGTTAATGTATAATTTTTTTATAATGAAACTAATAGTGTTAGGGTTAAAGGATTAAAAAGATATTTTATAAAATGAAGGGATCAAAATAAAATCTTGCTTAATAATTAAAACTAAAAAGCCATGTACATCCATGCAAATTAATTTAAAAAACTAATTATAATTTCTAAAATAAGAATAATATTAAGTGTAATCTAATAAAATATTACTCCTTAAAAGTAATGGTCTGGCTCTGCTTCATCGTCTGATGGTCTAAGTAAGTTTTAATTTTTATGGATGTCAAATTTTCAATTCCTTAAAAGTTCAAATTCCTTATCTATTGAAGACCTGACTTGATTAAATGCTATATATGCTTGCATATAATGACTGTGTAATGGATTTTAAGCTGCCTATAAGCATTCATTGACAATTCATCAATAAATTGATACTTGATAGCCAATTTGAGACTGACCACTGGAATGGAATGCTTGATCTGATTTGTTTACTTTTCTTTGTTTATACTTTATATATTGATTAGGACTCTTAATGACAAATCTAAATTTTGCCTTGTAGAAAATGACATCTGAAAAGACAGATCCTACATGGGAGCATTGTGCTGAGGTCAAGCTCCCAGATGGCAAAGTTCGCCTAAAATGTTTGTATTGTGCAAAAGAATTTACTGGTGGAGGGATTCATAGAATGAAATAACATCTTGCTGGAAAAAAAGGGAATGCAATAAGTTGCAAAAAGGTGCCTGCTCATGTATGCCACCAACTCGAAGAAAATTTAAAGGAGATTAGGGAGAATAAAGGCAAGAAGCAAGATAGTTATGAAGAGGACAATCCATATGGCCTTAATGTCACACCATTAGAAAGTCATGATGGAAATTTAGAAAAAATTTCTACTCCTCAATCTCAAACCCTCAAGGAAATTCAACCATAAAGTCAAACTCAACTTGGAAAAAGAAAGGCTCCTATTGACAAATATTTTGCACCAAGAACAAGACCAGGAGCACAGCCAGGGATACAAAGTGTACTTGCAGGTAAATAACCTGTACGTAGAGCAGACACGGCCTTTGCTAAGTGGATGTATGATTGTTGTATCCCATTGAATGTTGTCAATTTAGCATTCTTTCAACCTATGATTAATGCGTTTACAGCTATTAGCCCTGGTTATAAAGGGCCAAGTTATCATGCCATGAGAACTAAATTATTGCTTGATACTAAAAAGGAAGTTCAGTTAATGGTTGATAGTTTTAGAAACTTTTGGGATGATATTGGTTGTACAATCATGGCCGATAGTTGGCAAGATCAAGTAAATAGGCAATTGATTAACTTTCTTGTCTATTCTCCCAGGGGAATTGTTTTTATTAAATCTGTTGATGCATCAGATATAGTCAAGGATGCCCAAAATTTGTGCAATTTGTTCACTGAAATGGTTGACTTTGTTAGAGTTACAAATGTTGTGCACTTGATAACTAATAATGCAGCTAATTATAAAGCTGCTAGGCGGTTATTATGTGATAAATTTCCTTATATTTTTTGGTCTTTTTGTGCTGCACATTGTTTGAACTTGATTTTAGGAGATATCGATAAAATGGATGTTGTGACTGGCTTGGCAACACATGCATCTATGGTGACAAAGTTTGTTTATAATCATGCCTTTTTGCTTGCTTGGCTGAGAAAAAGAGAAAGTTGGATTGAAATTATTCGCCCTGGGGTGACACGATTTGCTATTACTTTTATTACATTGAAAAGTATTCATGAGCATAAACATGATTTGCAAGCCTTGGTAATTAGCAAAGTATTTTTAGATTCTAGATATTCAAAAGGAGAAAAGGCAAAGGATGTGACTTTAATAGTACTGGACAATTAATTTTGGAATGATTGTAAAATTGTGATCCAAATTGTTTCACCACTTATTCGGTTGTTGAGAATTGTTGATGTTGATTAGAGGCCTTCACTTAGGCATGTATATGATGGCATGTACAGGGCAAGAAAAACTATCAAGAATATATTAATGAATAAAAAGCCCTTATATAAGCTTTACACAAGGATTATCAAGAAAAGGTGAGATTTTCAACTTCGTTAGAAGCTTTATGCAGCAGCTTATTTCCTAAATCTTGTGTTTTTTTATGATAAGCAGAGCTTCTGTAAAAAGCCAGAGGTTATGGCTGGATTTCTTGATGTTTTGGATAAGACAATCATTTTTAACAAAACCAAGTTTGTGCAAGAAAGTTTGTTGTATCAAGATAGAGTTGACAGCTTCGGTCGTTCCTTGGCCATTTCATCTATAAACTTATTGCGGCTAAGTAAATTTTAATGCTTTTTTCATTTAACTTTAATACTTTTTAGTTTTGTAGTTCTTATTTATGTTTATTTTTGATACTAAATTTTGCAGATGAATGGTGGAAAATGTTTGGTAATAGTACACCAAATGTTAAAAATTGGCAATGAAACTCTTGAGCCAAACTTCACCTTCATCTGGTTTTGAAAGAAATTGGAGTGTTTTTGAAAGAATACACTCTAAAAAAAGGAATAGGTTGGAGCATAAAAGGTTAAATGATCTTGTGTTTATTCATTACAACCTTCATTTGAGAAATAGGTATATTATTTAATTATGGCTGAACTTTGTTTAACATGAGTTTAATTATAAGTTAACTTCTAAAATTTTAATACTTTGGTTATGTGTTTTAGAGTTTATAATAAGAAAAGATTTTTTGATCCTATTGATTATAAAAGTATTGGTGACATTGAGTATTAGATCATGGAAGATGAAGAGTCTCCCACCCTTAATTATGATGAGATAGAAGAAGCTATGTTTTATGATGATACAATAATTCCACAAGTTTCTATCAATCAAGATGAAGGTTTGATCTTTGGTATTTTTTAGTATTTAGTCATGTTATTTTTTTTCTTATAATATGTGTTACTTATTAATTTTAATATTTGATTTGTTATATTGTTTAATAAAGGTAATAATGAAGGAGGAGGCAATGAGGTTCCGTCTGGGGGTGGATGTTCAATTATAGAAGGACTTGATTTGAGATCTTTTGCCCAAGAAGATGTTGAGACTTATAGTGATAATGATTTGCAAGAAACTCATGGTTGACTTAATCAAGATTCACCAATCTTTAACAAGTCATGAATAGATAAATATGATATTATGCTTGTTTAAATTGTTGGTGTGTTGTGTTGCCTTGTTAGTTGTTATTTTGTCATATGTTGAAGTTGAAGTTGACTACTTAACTTGATGTTTTAATTATTTGATGTTTTGTTTATATTATTATGAGATATATAATTTTTAAATTTAATTATTACGTCACTGGTTCGACCATTGGTCCAACCCGGTTGAACTATACGAACTGTGGACCGCTAGCCTCTTCGGTTCAATATCTGGTCCGATTCTGAAAACATTGCTATTTTTCATTGTATCCAAAAAAACAAAAAAGATACTGACACTGTAACAATTAAAAATCAATTGTTAAAGCCTTAATTAATAAACACTTAATATAAATTTTTTGATTTGGCCATCTCACTAAGTAAGATTCAAGTATTGTGAAGTCTAATGAACAATAATTTTTTCAAAGACATTTTTTATATTCACATGAAGTTAAATTCAAAACCTTATACTTAAACAGCTATATTTTTTTATTAAGACCAACACCTGTTGATACATTTAATATAAATTGTTTATGGATCAATACAATAAAATGCAAAATGATGAAAAATGAAAAATTCTCATTTTCTTAGATGCTTTAAAATAGAAGGGAGTTCATTTTTGTGTTCTTACTGCTTAATTAGTATTTCTTTAGTATACATACATACATACATACATACATACATACATAGTATTTCTTACTGCTTAATTAGTGAATGTACTGTGACATTCGTGTATTCTACTTTTTCCCATGTGAGCTGAGCAGCCCGATGGATACTAGAGATCTACAGTATCCATCCAACCTTTTTTTTTTTCTTTCATTAATTTTTTGTTAACTTTTTTAGGTGCGTAGCTGTCGGATGGGTATCCATCTGAATTTTTCTTTATATATATATATAGTTAATTTTCTAAATATGATATAGGAAAAATAAAAAGGATAAAGAATTATATTGGCCTTATCGAAAAATAGTTACATGTGGGACTTACAAAAATTAAGTTGTTAATATGAAAATTGTAATTAAAAATGAGTAAAATATTTTGACATTTTCTTTATTTTATCTTAATTAATGATACCTTTCTTCTATTTTTTGAAATCTATATAATTTTTTTCCTAATATAGATAGTTATAAAATACAAGCCTCCCTTCTATTTTTAAGATTTTATTTTCATTCACCTAACCATTAGTTGACCATTAAATTACATATGTTGGATTAAAATGCCCCTATTTAAATATAAATATTGTCTAAAAATTATTTAAATTACCAAAAAAATTAATTTTGTAACTTTTAAAAATTAAATATATAAATTGGCCAAAAAAATTCAATAAATAGAAAAATAAATCTAAAAGTTAGAAGTACCAAGAGTCAGGCTCAACTATAAATTTTTTATATATTTATATATTTTGAAATTGATATGAATTGAGGATTTAATGGGAATAAAAAGAATGTGAAATTTTAATAAACTTGATTTTCTTAAAAATTGGAATAATGTGGTTTAAAAAGTGGTGTGTGGACCTACAGTTAAAAAAACGAGTGGGAGCCTATCGTAAAAATTATAGGTGTTAGATATGTAAAGAAATTACAAATGATGAAAAACTGAGTGTGGGACCTATAATTTAATTAATAAAATTAAAATATATCACAAATGGTATTTTAAAATATAAATAAAAATTTAAAAGAATATATCATGAATAGTATTTTAGTCTAACATATATGCAATTGTCAGCTAATAATTGGATGGGTGAAAATAAAAATTTAAAAGTAGAAGACATATTTATATTTTATAACTATTAACTATTAATTTTAAGAGAGATTCGCATATATTTAAAAAAATCTTTATAATTAAGATAAAATAAAAGGGAAAGTAATATATTTTATTTTAAGGATACTAAAATATTTTTTATATTTATTTTTATTTTTATTCTTAAAAATTAAAACATTCCCGCGCACAAGGTATATTTACATGGGGACAACATGGTTTAGATAAAAATAATTTATTATATATTTATATGGGAATGAATGGTATCCTTCTATTAAAATTTTAGTCTCACAGTTGCCGACTGTAGGTACGTATTTTTGTGTTGATTATTAATCCTTCTACTAAAATATTTTTTTTAATATTAATATTTATTTTGTAAACATAGTTGTAGGACTCAATAAAAAAGTACATGTGTGATTTACAATGAAGATATTTAAAGAATTTCATATTTACTTTTAAAAATTATTTAAATATGTTCTACAAATAGAGCTAGAAGGTTTATAAGATAATAAATTTTAGAGTTTAAATGTAATTTAAAATTTAAAGTTTTAATATATGCATATATAATAAATTTGAAAATAAAATATTCCACTTAAATTTTTGACATGGACATCAAATTATAAAAAAATATAAATTACAAGAAAAATTCTCATGTAAACTCATTTTTTATGTAATATTCTCTTTTAATTTTTAAAAATAGTATAATCTGACTCTTGCTGTTAATAAAAGTTAATTTTGATCATTATTTAAACATAAAAGGATCTTAAAAATTACAATGCAATGTATTGTTATTTATTTTATTTTTTAATGTTATTAAATTCTTCCTCTTACTTTTAAGGACCTTAAAAATTACAATGCAATATATTGTTATTTATTTTATTTTTTAATGTTATTAAAATCTTTCTCTTACTTTTTTTTTTCATTGTCTTCAAATCAGATAAAATATTAGACTCCCGTGCATCGCATCAGGTTAATATCTAGTTTTTGTTCAACATGCACTGGGCTAGGCATTGTCCAAAATCAAGGCAGTGAGTCAAGCCAATAAAATGAACTGTCAACAGCCATGGAATAACTTGATAATTATGAACCCAAGTACGAGGCAATTCTCAATCTGCAAAATTTCAAACAGTAACCAAACAAATGAGAGAATTTTACCCAGTAATTTCTACAAATGAGTGTCTTGCAATAACACTTTTCCTTTTAACATTTCAAATCTCCAAAAACAATAATCACCTGTTCATTTGCCACATCGCATCAAGAAATTACGCACTACTCTTTTATCTTTTGCTATTGCTAATCAAAAAGTGAAATATCATGATATAAAGAATGGCTTACAGCCTCAATCGCACAATAATGTACAGAACAATAACTACATATATATGCAATGCTTTGGGGAGACGATCAAAGTTCAAATTTGCCACCATTTTCGCCTTTCCATTGTCTTCACAAGCTCATTTGCCAATGATGCAAAGTTCTCAGCTCCACTTTGCAATTCTGCAGTTCGTTCACTGATTCTCTGAATTAAATATACCGGCAAAAGCTTAGTTCATAACTTCTTCCACTTTTGAAACAAGATAATACTACAGTTTGGGATCACAGATTTCAGAAATCTAAAGCGTGCTTTCCCTGAAAATTTTAAAAATGTACACAAGTCTTGCCTAAAAATAATCATATTCTATTCATTCTCGTTTTCTATGTATGTTTTGAGAAAGTGCACTAAAATACAACTCTTTAAAAAATTTAGATCAAGATAAGTTTCTGGGTTTTGCTGCCAAGTCGCTCCCATGGCACGCTTAAGTGAAAGCAAAATGTGCTCATCAACAAGACACAAAGCCCGAAGCGAAGATAAATTCGTACCTCCAATTTTTCCTGCCTCTCCATAAGCTTGTTTCTTGCTTGGGAAGCAGCGGAAGCAGCATCCTGAAATTAGTCAACAAATGAGACATAATTTTCTTCAATCCAAAAATGAAATATATCAAAATTTAGTTTGTTGATATCGATTTTTCATGAAAAAGGAGAGAGGTTAGGTTAGATAGCTTGTCATCGGTATTCATTACCTCAGTTTTTCTATAAGTAGCTCTAATTTCCTCCGGCGTTCTCATTCTTGGCTTTATATCATCATTAGTTCCTCCTTGCAATAACTTATCCCTATCTGTTAACTTATCTGCAGGCAAAAAGACAAAACAGTCAATGATCTAATTAAAATGCATAGAAGTGAAGACACCGAATTGATATACCTTTCTGTCTACTAACATCAATTGATGAAGTGGAACCCTCAGTCGGGGGTTCATCTATCTCAATATCATCTGCCAAAACAGAACATCATGTGAAATTTCTTCTTTGTTTTTTGGGGGCGCAATTAAGGTGTTGAAGTGCTTTAAAAAGACGAATGAAAATAATCCAGAGGCAATTTAGCAGGAAACCTATATTAAGCTCCACTTCATTATCTGGGACAGAACTCAGTGAATCGGAAGATGGGGGCTTCAAAAATAAGCTCTCCAAATGCGCAAAATTGTGAGTTGAAAATGCAGTAGAATTTGTTTGGGTGTTTTTTACTCCTTTAAATCCTTTGACAATACCACCTAGAATCCCTGGTGCGATGCCCTGTGCCAACATAAATAAGCTTCTTCATTTTTGTAACAACAGCGTTGGCCAAAAAAATTGTAAAAATGGCACCTTCGAAATTTTACAAAAAAAAGTATCCAAGGAATTATGATAATGGCAAATGTTTCCAGAAAACGGGGGAAAAAGCAGAACAACTCAAACCTGCTTTCTCTTCTGATTTGAAGAGAATTTGAAGGCAGCATCTGCTGCAGATGCAAGAACTTTATCATGGAGACAAGGCAGATTATCTAGACTCCTACAAAGCAAGAGTATTGCTCATTCTACTTTTAATCAAAAAGTCCACACTTTTGTCTTTTCATCGCAGAGTAACTAAGATACCTGAATTCATTTTTGTCATCTAATAATGAGATGAAGGTCAACTCAGAACCGTTTGCCTGAAAGTTGTCAACATGAGATGCCTAAGTAAATATATATTTGACCAGAAAAAACTGAAATGCACTATCTTATCTAACGTAGTTAAAGGGGAAAAATAAAATTGATGTTTTAGTCCATTTCCCCCAAACAAAATGGCTTCTCTAGTAAGCAAAGTCACAGTCATACACTAAACTTGCCATTGATGGGAGTCCACACGGCAATTAATTGATTATATAAACCTGTCGTCTTGTCCAGGCGTCTTATATCCCTAGTTGACATCTTTTTTTTTGGCTACTTTCACAAACCAAAAGGGCACCAAGAGGGTTAGATGGCTTTTGTAAAAGTAGCCACAATAACATTGCTTTGGGATTGTAATACAACTGGGCAAGTTCATATAACCAATCAATGACTCTGAGTTCTTGTTTACGCTACATATCAACTTTGATAGCTGATCCTTGCTTGCAGGGACCTTTTTAGTAGGGGTAAACAAATTCAAAGAAATAGATTGAGGCTGTACTTCTAGAGAAACTCATTGCGAAGGGATCATCTTTTAAGGACTAAATCATTAATTTATGCTGTAAAAAGAAAGGAATCCTAGACAAGTCTGTTAGTTCTAAACACCACTATACCAGTGCAATATTTCCATTATCATCAGAACACATGGTTTTGTCCATATTCACTTTATAATTCCATCTTAAAATGGACAACAAGGAGCTTTCCTGTACCAATTCCAAGTTTGGATATGACCTGTCCAAAAGACAAGTGTAATCATGATCAATTTTATAATCCTCCTAAAATCTGTCTTATAGGGGGAAAAAAACTTATAGGGGGAAAAAAACAAACATGGTGATTCCACCTTATTTCAAATGTTCCAGTCTGAAGCAACAATAGCAGCCCGCAAATCTTGTCATCTTTCTTTAAAGTTGTAGTCCAACAACAAGGCTTAGAAAGTTTCACTTTATGAACGGGTTTCTTATTTCCCTGTAAGAATATATCATAAATAATTAAATATCCAAGTAGCTTTCTTAAAGAATTGTAGCTTAATTATAGATGTATTTGGATAATGGGTACAGGACCTGTATCAACAATTTTCCAGAGAATATACGCAATGAATTCTCACAGCAGAGGAGAACTAATGGATCCATCAAAAAATCTGAGTATGTGGTTTCTGTCGAAGAAAGTTCAACCTCAGTTGGATTTACCCTGGTTGAATTGCTGTCTGGCACTGGCTCATTGATATTAGCAGCATCCTTCAAGGACTGCTCGAGCTGCTTGTCATTTGGCACTTCAGGGCTTGAAAGACTATCATCTGGAGCACAAAAATCTTTAAGACTTTCTGTTGATATGATCCTAACAGCAACAAAAGCGAAAATATAAAAAAGTATCGTTGATGAAACTTGTACTTGCCTATAACATACATTGAAATTGCTGTTGATTCCTTTAAGTGTAATGGTCGATTGCAGATCATTTTACCAGTACCACTGTCAATTATATTAACCTTTCCATCCTGGGATGTGACATATATGATTGCTTCAAGAGAATTGTCTGTAGACTTATTCGGTTGCTCTGGACTATTCCTGGCAGTATGAATGGCTGATTGATCTTTCCAAGCTATTGAAATAATTGGAGAGATAGAGGAAGGAACACCATCAACTAAGAACAAAACTGCCAACGAAGTCATATCACAGACAGCAACCTGCCAAGGCAAATGATCCAGGATTTACTGAGAAATCAGACAGTTATAACTACTACAAGCTAAGTAACAAAAAAGGAGTTGTGAATCAACAAGTTGACAGATGATACCCACATGACCACTGAAAAATCCAACAGCTAGCTTGGTTCCAGAGTTTGCGAATGATAATGCCTGTACAGGCGAACTGAGAAGACTAAAAGCAGCCCTAAGTTGAGGGCCTTTCCCTTGGGGTAAGTCATGGGCTGTGAATAAAATTCAACAATATAAATCCAGAAGCTAAAGGCCATCAAAAAGTAATGTTATGTAAAACCTAAATAACAACAACTCACTAGAAACAATTTAATGGGAATCCTGAAGGATTTTTAATCCAATATGTTTTAAAGAAAAACAAGGGAAAACAATGTCTGCAGAACGTGCAAGAGACTCAAATATATGGTTTGCATATGTTCTCAAGCTAACAGAGCATCTAACATTCATCTAGCTCTTTTGTTATGTTATCAATCTTTTTTTCCCTTCACCCCCACCCACCCACATACATCTGGGCATGCAAACAACTCAATTTCAAGTCAAGCAAAGGCCAACATCTATGGCCTAGCTAATTTGCACTTTTGTGAAAACTCCGAGGAAGAGAACAGCTTGATGACGACAGAAATCTATAGACAACCTTCACATTTTGTTTCTGTGACAAAATGGAACTTTGTCCCATCAGAAAGGGCTTTGAGGTAGTAAACTCGAACCTACAAAAATTATCAAAGCAAAGAAATTAAGTATGGAACAATGTCAAATATCTCCAAATAGAGTATTCAGAAAAGAAATATTTCTGACAAGACCGCATTCATTGCCAACAGCCAAGTGTAAGGAAACAGAGCAGAAGTCCAATTTTGTCACTGGTGCACTTGAGCCAGCCACTTTTATGCCCTGCACCTACGGACAGGAGACTTGTGAGTGCAATCAGAGATATACACTATTCGACTTGAGTAACAAGAAAAGAATAATGTTGGTAACTTCTCTTTTTCCAAGATAAACTTTGTGTAGTTCTTACCTCTCCCTCTATGTAACATATATATGATAACATTGGGAGCGTGGCATCACACATCCATACTGATCCATCAGAGTAGCCTGCTAAATAAACTCTCTCAACCCCAGTATTTTTAACCCTAGACAACTGGCTGGGAACACCCCCAGTTATGGGCCATTTAGAACGAGTAGCTGAATCAGGTGTTGAGCCAGTTTTCATAATTGCAGCTGCCTAAGACAAAACATAATATGTAGAATAAAAAGAAAAGAACAGAAAATTATACTGAGGTCAGCTACCAGGCTTGACACTAATGAAATCCCAGCACATAGAACCAAAATACCTCTGACAGAAGTTTTGAAGAATTTAACTCAGTGGGCATCCTTATTAGCTTTGCAACAGTCATAGATGGATCAACTGTAGGTATTACAACCGGAAATTCCAGAGCAGATACAGATGGTACCATCTTCTGCTGAGATATTAAAGCGGAGAGACTAACATTATCATAAAAATGCATTTGCCCAGGGTTCGTAAGGATAAAAAGATCATCTTTACTGTTAAGCCCCATTCCTCCAGGATTTGGCAGTAAAATCATGTCTGCAAAGGAGCCATTAAGTGTAAGATCTGCACGGCCAACACATTTTATGGTTTCCAACCCAGATGACCATTCAAGAGTTAAAACCTGCAGCGAAGAGATGCTTCACAGTTTAGGCACTGCTACAAACAATGTGAAAAGAAATTTCCATAGGATGTCCCCCATTCAATAACCATGACAAGAGAACGACAATCTCCACGATATAGTCAACACACCAATGAACAATCTCAAAAGCGCTTGATAATCTCATCCAAATTCAATTATAAACAGTCAGGTTCCTAAGATAATATGCATCTATAGGGGACTCAAACAACCTTAATTCAACTAGGACGTGGCCTGAACTTTCGCAAAGAAATCGAATTTCAAAGTAGGAAGTAAAATATCAATCCCACTAATAATATTAATATCCAAGGACCAAAGGAAACAAACTAAATTCCCAAAATATAAACAAACCAATCCTTGCAAAAGAAAGCAGTGCAAGCATTGAAAGTTATTATCTATAACCAATAGAAGCAACACAAATTAATCTGAAATACAGTGCTAAACAGCCAGAAACAAATAACTCACAGTCAAAACTTCTTCAGATCCAATTTCATCGCCACCATAGACAAAAAGCTGTCCAGTACCATCACTATAGGGTTTATGGCTGTTAGACCATTTTAAGACAATGACTGGGAGTCGTCTTTCTGCAGAAGACAGTTGTAACTTGACAACATTTTTTGACGATAAAGTTTGTTGGCCTTTTGGAGAGGCTGCAGATGACAAGCTCCAGAAAAGGATATCACCATCTATGTATCCCACTGCAAGAATGGACCCACTGCAAGATGCCCAGCAGAGAGCACTTATCTCTTTATCTCCCATTTGTTGTTCTGCAGTATCAGCTGGAAGTTTGGTGTCCATATCATCAGAAGAAATACCAACTTCATCCTTCAGTTGGAGATCCTTGCCACCACCAAGAAACAGGATTCGAGCTTCTGAAATATCCCAAAGAATAAGCAGCCCATCCTCAAATGCAATTAACAATCTGCCAAAAATAAATAAATAAATAAATAAATAATATAGAACTCATAATTTGTTGAATTGAACAAGGTGAATACATTTCATGCCTCTCAACTTTCACAAATCAGATGAATGCATCTGGTATGTTATTAAAATAGGATGTGAAAAAATGACAAGGTAGAAGTTTCAGCAGAGTCAGCACTAGAGAGTAGAGTCAAAGTCATGTCCTCAACTTAAAATATAAAAATCTAACATATTGCATCATTATTCATCAGTTAAAAACAGTGCAATTTCTCTTTATAATTTATTATTCACAAGCCACATAAACAGTGTGGCTTACATTGGATCCCATGCCTCTCTTTAGACTGTTGTTATTGTTGTTTCTATCTCTTTTCTATACTTTTTAACTATGAGTGAATTTTGAATTTCTCACCAAAATGTTTGCTCAAATCAATATAGTATTCCGTCCAAAAGTTTGTATCAAGTTATTATTTATCATGTGCATTATACCAGGGGAAATTTTGTTTTATGAACAACATCTCAGGTCACCATTTGAGAATCGTATTTTAAGTGCTATCCCTTCACGTTACATTTGTTTCCACACAACAACCATATAATCTTTGGGTCTTTAAAAAAAAAATAAAGAAGTCAGATTTCGTCCTAGTGTCTGGCATAATTCCATAAATACAATCACCAAATTGATATATTTTCATCCTCTCTTTAGCAGGAGACCAAAGATTTGGCTACCAATATGACAGAAAATACACGCTACTAATCAAATAATATAGCACTGTTTTATGAGAACACAACATGGGTACTGTTTTATGAGAAGACAACATGGGTCTGATAATAATATGCAGTTGCTTTTTGGGGTGGAGGCTCCACAATTTCATCGAAACGCTCTTCTTGAAAACCTAATAAAGAATTCAAAACATGTATGCTACAAAAATAAAATTACAAATATGAATATGTTAAACTAGTGAGTCACAAGTCTGGCCAAAAATCAAAGCTAGTGAGTTACAACTGATTAGCTAGTTTTTCAAAATAATAATTTTCAATAGCATTGATTGGGTAAATACAAATGAATTGCTATTTGGCCAACAGGGCAAATATTTCAACTTTTATGCTTTCACAAGCGGGGAAGTTATGCATATTCGCTGCAAAGATTACTTGTATCTTGCCTGTTCCCATAAGAAGAAGGTTGGGAAAGAACACCAACAATAGGCTGGTCATTGGGATATGATGACCCAGTAGTTTCTGACAAAAGGAAAACTGTGGCAATGAGTAACTCCTAAATGGAAGAAAAATAGCTTTATTCACAAGGTGAAAAATAGAGATAAATATCATCCAAAATAAGATATTGGGAAACAACATTATTATGGTGATTGCTACATGAAATATCAGAAGTTAGAAAGCACATTATTTCTGAGCACACCATTATAGAATGTGGTTTTGTAACCAGAACTAATTATACTTCTGAGGACAAGCAAAAGTAAAATGATGTATATGACTCCTCCCAGGCATTTAAGCAAAAGATTATAGCATGTAATGCAAATGATTCATCGTCTACATTGTAAATATTAGAAAATGTCTGGTTCATTCTTGGATGCAAGCAAAAAGAAGTATACATAAGCAGTATGAAAAGAAGAATGAAGTATTTAAAATGTCTACCTTTTTTACCGGTTCTTTCCAGAATCATGCAAAAATATAATTCAAATTTAGGATCAGATTTAACTGTTCTTAGATGCCTGTAACAACTCAATTCAATCTGCCTTTACTAATATATCCAATTTCCTAGTTTAATTCCAACCTGAATTAACTGATAAGTTTGAAAGATGCATAGGTGACCAAAAGTTGCATCAACAAAGGAGAGAAACACAATAAGCAATATGAGTTGCTGAAATAGAGTGAGGTCACAAAGAAATTAAGAGGATACAACAGGGAAATGCACAGTCACATGAAAGCATGTTGGTTTGAGAAACAACCTAGTTGAACACAAAAAAGAGAGATGCCTTGAGTCCTAAACTTGAATTTGCCCCTTTCAGGAGGGAGGCTGATAAGATAGGAACGTGGAACTATGTTTACTAATTATGCCACTGCCACTCACACTTCATTCCTTTTCTATAAACTAAAAAATAATTTGTACGAACAAAACAAAAACATTATTTCAGATTTCATAACAAACAATTTGAAGAGAAACATTGCCATGCTGCTTGAGCAACTTTCAAAAATGCAACACATGTTCTCAATCATCAAAACGAAGGACAACAATAAATTACCCCTAAGAGATTTTGCAGACACATGATATGGTGACCTTGACAGTTCTCCATCCTCAGCTTTGAACTTTATCACAGAGACTATACCATGCTCATCACCAACATATCTAGACATTGTAATGCAGCACTGATGACATAAATCAAGGGCCATGTAAAGAGGGAAATCATGCCGTGTTTATTTTATTATATCAACAACATACATAAAATGTGAGCCGCTGATAACAGAGAAAGCAGTAATATTGGACTCCCATTGTAAAGAACAAACCAGGCTTCTGCTCTCAAGACTCCAAACCTGCCACAATTGAAGGAAACTAATTAGATATGCTTCATAGGTGATTTTGCAAAATGATTGTTCAGAAAATAAATCAGCACTGTTTAGGAGTCATGAAGTTTGCACTGGTTAAGGACAAGCTGTTATCGTTGTACAGAATTCCGCAAACACTCTGAACCATAGTATTAAATATGAGGAAGGAAATCAAAGTCAATCACCTCAACATTACGTCAATTATCAAGCACAACCAATTATGCTAAATTCTTTCATAACACTCAGCATGCTTACTTATTTCAAAGTTTATCACTAATAAATTAAAAGGCAAGAAAATCATCCAGTCAACTCAGATATATCAAAGTGTAGTTGGCTCCAAACAAGCACAATAATATGCAGTTGGATAGATAGAGAATAGAAGAGGCAGCAGATGTTACCATTTCCAATATCTTTTATTACTGAATAGAGCCTTTTTAACAAGGTTGTGCTAACATGTAGAGAAACTAATTCAAGGCAAAGAAACTTGACCTGGATATCATTATCATTGGATACGCTGACTAAAAAGCCCAAGTTTTGTAGAAACTGCAGGTGCCAAATAAAATCCAAGCATCAATCAGCTGGTAATGTAGCAGAAATCATCAAAAGATCAGATGGATAACAGTGAAAAAGTACATCATTATACATTAATTCAAAATCTTCATAATACCTGCACTTTATTCTTTAACATGTTACCTTCTTTTTTTTTTTTTCTTCCTTCCTTTTTTGCTAAATTAATAGAGTAGTAGAAGATTTCCTTTTAAGATAAACACTACCCATAGGTGAACCTTAATTTCAACAGCAGATGAAAAATCATGAGCACGATACCCAACAATTCCTGCAGAATTATTGAACTTCTCTAATTTGCAGTGTACTGGGAAAACAAAATGCAGCCCTAGGGAGATTAGAGTGAAAGAAGAGTGCAATATGTTACGTCTGCTCAATAACAACTAATTGGAGGCAGACCTTTCAAATTTTGTTGGAAGGAAAAAACAGTGAAAAGAGAACACAGTATACTTGGTCTAGGGATTTTAAAAACAAGCAATGAATTCCACTGATTTATGATAGTACATTAAATCCCAATTTTTCCAAAAAGCAACCATATAAGTAATCATGAGCCAGTAAAATCTTCTCCCTTCCCATCGTATGAAGCAAAGGGCTAGATGGTACCATAAAAAACTTGAATTTACCAGATCTTGTCAAGTTTTGGCAGGTCATGTCAAAATAAAAATTAAACCACATGAATTCAACTGTGTATCAATTTATTGATTTCATGCCCCTACCTCCAAGTGTTTATAAGGAACTTGCTTAGGAGAAATAAGAACTCCTTCAATATTGTCACCCCCAATTACCTTAAGTCTTCCATCCCTGTCATTAAGCAAAGCAAAATAAATGCCCAACGTTGCACCAAGACCCAAATTGTTACTATGCAATTCGATACATGAACACAATAACTTATAATATATGTCTTACATTATAGAAAATTAGCAAATGCCTTCACTCATTCAATCATGAATAAATATTATGTTCAATAGGCTTTTTCTCAATATACTATCAAGAAACAGATTTTGCCTTTTAATCACCAAATGAATGTTTCTTTTTCTTTTGGGCTAGAAACCAAATGTCATATGACCATTTCTTGACCAAAACCATCTGAATGACAATGGGTACTTGTACATCAGGTATCAACCAAGGCACAACAACTGGACCGCCAGCTTGAACCCCACAAATATAACAAGAAGCCTTATCCACTAAGAGAGGTTAACTCCATAGATGGTACAATGTCATTGTAGTTTATCAACATCCCCGCAAATTGAAAAAAAAATAAAAATAAATAACCATGTTCAGAAATCTTAGGAGACTCAACACTTGTGATGGCCATTGCACCACGTGCAAACACAAAAGCTCCAAATTAACAATAATTTCTCAACTTTTCAACACTACAACATCCATGAATAATTTCACTTTCCGTGCAATAACTAATAAGAGAAATTCGACGTCCAATTTCTAAAAGGCAGGAAATTTATCTTGCCTCTTAACGGGTTCACAAAAATTTAACAACAATAAACATCCAATAAACTTACAGTGTTCCGATACCAAGAAGTCGCTGAACAGGGTCAAAAGCCAGAACCGAAGCCGTGGAGGGAATTCCGTAATGAATAACAATTGCGGGATCAAAGTCACTTGACTTCAAATTCCCGTTTTGCAAGTTATGCTGAACAACCAGAAATCAAAATGTGCACATAGTCAATCACAATCTTCAGCTTAAAACAATCGAAATAGGAAAGTAAGCCCAGCATGTCATATATCCAATAAAAGGACAACCAAAAATATGGTTGACATCAAACTCCAACCCTAGCTGATTTGGAAGAGGTGAAGGGGGGGAAAAAAGCAAAATGGTAGGAAGAGATTAGAGTCTATACATGAGAATGGTGCAGGGCCTTCTGCAAGAGACGCTTAGCAAACATGACGATGGCTGAGCTTCAGAGGTTTGAAATTCTTTTGATGGTTTCAGAGTTCACTTCGTGGAAGAGAACATTCCAATGCTTGTTTTCTTCGTCAGAATGTAATCTAAACTGTTTTTTTCCTTTTTGTTTTTGGAAGAAAATAGATCAATGGAATTGCTAATTGAGAGTTAAGAATCGTCAATCTTGTGCTTACCGGCTGGCCACGACACGATTGTTTGTCTTCAGTTCACTTTGGATTCGTTGGCAACCACGCTTCGCTGTTGCTGGTACCTAACGTCTTCTTCTTCTTAGTAATGATAATAATAATTAATATTAATAATAATTAGATTATGATGATAATATTATTAATAATTAGTAATAACAGGTGAAGAAGAAGAAAATTTCTGCGCAATCTAATATCTAATAATCTTCAGAGAGATTGTATCTTTAAAAAAATTCTTGAAGATTTTTCTCATCCTGTTAACATTTAAGTTGGCTGATAAACAAAATTATGTACATCCTAATAAAATATGTAAAAAAAATAAATTTATTTTCATGTAATTTTCTATTAGTAGTGCAATTTTTTATAAATGATATATTTATAAGAGTTTTTACACACATAGCTCATATCATAAGACTAAATAAAAAAAATAGTATATCTTTTTATAAATTTCAAAAATAATCTTTTTAATATTTAATTGATATATAATTTACAAAACTACTTTTTTAAAATTATAACACTCTACTTTTTGCAAATACCAAAATAGATTCAAAACGTGAGATATTAGGCGAATGAGAAAGACAAATGAGAACTATAGTCACAATGGAAGAAAAAATAAGATCGAACTTGAAGATGGAAGAAAGCATAGCAATGTGAGCAAGCAATAGTTACGATAGCGAGAGACAAACACGAGGCAAGAGACATCAAAGATACTTGACAAAATGGAGCACGTTGGCGGGGAAACAAAACTATAGAATTTTTTATGAACTGTGTTTAATTCATTTTGAGTAAATAATTATGTGTTTTTCGTGTTATTGATATGTGATACTACATCACTGATATACAGTTGTATATCAATGATAAACAAGTTTATATTTAATTGTTTGATTATGTTAATCTGCAAGAATATTATTGTATGTCACTGATATACTATCGTAAATGAAAAACACGAAAACAACATAATTATTGGCCTAAACCAAATCAAATTAAGTTCATAAAAAATTCTAGACACCTTATCTTATTACAAAAAATCAAATACTTAAAATAATAAAATTATAAAATTATGAACAATAAGAAAATAATATGTGTTTTCTGTTAGTAACTTAAACAAATTTCATGATCAATGATAACAAATAACAAATTATGAATAAGTGTGATTTTATCTAGATAAATGAAGATGATGAAAATTCAATGATAGATAATACTCTTCAATTTTCAAAAAAAAAAAAAGAATACAGGACAACTTTAATTTGAATCTTGAACTACGCAATGTAGGTTGCGGAACCTGATGATGGGGTTTAGTCTTCAATGTCAAATCTCAGCTTCATAATATGCCTAGGAAAAACAAAGAGAGAGAGAGAGAATAAAAGCATTAGCATATGAGACTTTTCTCCTCTGCAATGAAAAATGACTGTGAATGCACAATTCAATCAATTAAATATTAGTTATAGGAGATATATTATATTTTAATAATATATTTGTTCTAAAGATAAAAAAATAAAAATCACTAATTTTATGAATGTGTCATACTTTAAAATATTCAAAAATCTCATCTATAATTTTTGGAAATGGTATTTTTTGAAACTATTGAACTAATTTGCTCATATTGATATTGATTATAAATTTATTTTAAAATGAAAATTACCAAGAGGGAACAAATATTATAACTATACCATCATTTGAACTCAATAGATATAATGACTTATAGAGGTTATTGATGTAAAATAGTGAAATATAACATTTTTGGCCAATATCATATCAATATCGTAGGTTTTTTGAGTGTTATGCAATGCACAAGTCAATAATCTAATCATAGATAATAGAATAACTCGTGAAATAATTAATTTATAATTTCTAATGGGACAAATTAAAATGTGGCACGCTTCAATGAGAAGGAAGTTTTTTTTAATATTATTTCAATTTCAATTATTTGTGTTAAAATTTAAAAATATCATGATCAATTTCTAAAAAGTTGCTACTCATTTCATTAACAAATATAAGACATTTTGTGAACAGTAAATATTAAAAAATATAAAGTATTTTTAGTGTTTCAAGATATAATTAATGTATTTTTTAAAAAGTATTTATAATAAATAAATTATTTTATATTTATTTTAAAGTAAAACATCCTGTTAAATAGAGGTAAATATAAAAGATTGTGTTATTTTAAATATAAATAACTATTTTATTAAATATAAAATTTAATTAAAAATATTTTATATTTTTTAATGAAGAAAGTAACTTAGTATTGATGCTTGAAAAGTATACTTTTGTCCTATTTATGTCCTATTTTCGTTAGCATAAAGTCCTATTTTTGTTAGATTACATGAATTTTTCGGTATCTCTCTCGTTTTAATATAAGTTTTGGCTCTCGTGAAAATTTGATAAATATTACAAATCCTCCCTTTTAGATAAAATACAAAATACATGTTATCTGACAAAAAAAAATACATTTTTTGAAAGAAAATACATCAAAGGTATTAAGTACTCTTTAAGAAATGCCAAGTTCATAGATTTGGAGAGAATCCAAGTTAGAATTGTACCAATCTCGGTTGAATATGCACAAGCCACCGGAAGTTAGTTGGCTTTTCTGTTCTTTGTTTGTTTGTTTGAATGTGTTTGGATGAAAGGATGAGATGAGATGGCTATTTCAAATTTCAATAATCAATACTGAGTCAATTTGTCCAGGTCAGTACAAATATAGATTATGTCATCACAAGTTAGTGCCAGTACTTGATATTAGACTTCTTACCTAATTCATTCTCGTTTTTTTATTATAAGGAAAAAAAAATTATGTCAATTTGGTTGCAGTACCAGTTATCGTACTCATACTGATGTGAGCCGCCCCAGCTAATTTTTTTTAAACAAAAATTACGTAATTAAATTTATAAATTTATTATACTTATTTTTACTTTCATCTAAATAACTTGATTTTAATTTCAAAAATTCTCCATTCATCCCATTTTATAAGATTAATTAAATACAGTTTAAAATTTTATTTTTAAAAAAATATAAATTTTTAAAAATACTCTTCATCACTTAATAAAGAAGGGATAGAAAGAAAGATATTTAAGGATTGCAATAATGAGAGTTAATTTCAGAATAAATTTGTTAATGAATCATTATCTTTTTCAAAAATATTTTCTATTTGAAACATCAAATCATTCCAAAAACAAAAAACCTTATAAACAGTGTTAATGGAGTAAATTAAAAGTATTAATAATAAGAGTTTTTTTTTTTGGTTGAAGTGATATCAATATTATATTATGACAGATTTTTGTATAATTGATTTAATTTATAAATTTGTGTTGGTTAGACAACATCTACCTAATTAATTTTAATCAATTTAAGCATTTGTGAACACGTGAATCCTATTTACAAGCTCTAGGATGATCCAGAGCAGAGTGAAAACATTTGGTTGGTGACTCCTTAAACAAATAAATAAATCAGAGGAGACCACACAAACGGGGCCTTGAACAGAACTGTCTTCCATTAGCTTTGATTATGGCCATAACTCCTGCTGTAACTCCAGCACACAGTATAGAAGACCAATAGTGCTGTATATTTCGCCCAGCTACAAAACAAACACACACAAAAAATCATGTCTTGTTTATATGGTCGCAGTTAAAAAGTATAATAAAATAAAGTAAAGGCTTCATTACAATTACTTACTCGTGGTTTAGAGTGTGTCTGTCACCTAACCTTTGCAGGGTTTGTTTTGTTATCATTCAACTATTCTTTTGGCACTTGTTACTCGTGTGTGTTAAAATTATTGGGATCGAGTGTGAGTAAATAATGAAGAGAAGTCTCACACTGAACAAGATCGAGATGAAGTAAAGAGTATTAAAGTAGAAAAATATTCATAAACCTAACGCCTTGTAATTTTGAGCCATGAGCTAGTGTTAAGTTTACTTGCACATTTCCGCTCTAAGCCTGACAGAAAGAAAAAAAGGAAAAAGATTCAAGAGATTTTCTCGTTGTCTGACATCATCTCAAGTCCCAACAGTATGACAAGTGAGAACTGGTGGCTAAATAAATGTGGAGATTGAAAGGTGCTCCCTTTGAGCCACAAAGCTCAATGTCTGTTGGATTCAATGTGAGTGAATGATGAAAAGAAGTCTCAAATTAAATAAAATTAAGATGAAGAGCATTAATTTCTATCGGACACTAAGGCTTATTTGGTTGCTGGAAAGAAAGGAAATGGAATAGATTATAAAAATAAAGATAAAAATAGAATGATCAAAATATGGAGGAGAGATAAGTCAACCATGTTTATGGGGAGGAAAGGGTGATTTACTTCAGGAAGTTGAGAATCATAATTCATGAAATTTATGAAAGGTATGGTGATTTTTATATTTGTGGTATATGGTATAAGGTTTTATCATATTTACCGTGAGTGGGAGGATAATTTAATTTATTTTTGTTTTTATTTCTTTAATTCATTTTATTTCCATCTGTTTCAGCAACCAAACGGGTCCTAAGAAACTATTCAAAAGCAGCAGCAGCAACATACCCAATCCCATTTAGTGAAGTTAGCTACATGGATCACATGATGTTATAAGGCTCTATCAACAACCATAAGGAACTACTCAAAAGCAAGTAGGGGAAAAAATTTAACGCTGAAATCGGTTGTCCTCTAAGCATTCACTGAATCGTTTCCTTAACAATGGATGCAAAAACCACATTGTGGTTCAGCAATACCCTAAGATTCAGAAAAATTACTCAATGGCACACTTTAAAGAACAAACCAATTTTGAACTAAGTAACATGGAAGAAAATTGTAAATTTCCAAAAATCAAAAGTGAACGGTTCATCTACGACCCTCTGCTCAGATGAGGGAAGATAACAAAGAACTGCATACCTTGTTGAACTGTGAAGGTTGTTATCGTCAAACCTCCTAGTATCAAAGCTGATGCCACTGGGAGATACTGCATGTTTTTAGTTGGCCACAGAACATGTCAATACCAATGACAATTCGCTCTACAAGTAATCTACGTCCACGTCCATAACCAACTAATCATGCACTTAGACTTAGTTTTAGAATTTTGCTACTAGGTTATCTGATTTTATGACATGTGAAGAAGTTTTCTTCAAGCAATCAACATGATAGTTGAAGAAAGAAAGAAAGAGGTTCACATCCTAAATTTTTACTAGAAAACTTTGTAATAAACACCTAAAGAAGTTCGTCTAGATATTGTTAACTCTTGTCCATTCAGAAATTCTTGTCTTCAAATGGTTGAATTTAGGCATGCCATGCTTGCTTCATAACATCGCAAAGCAAAAGCAAAAATTATGCTAGATGCACAATGCAGAAACTTTCTTAGTTTCATCAAAATAGAACTGGTTTCTTGGCCAAGTGGACATCTCTTAAATTATTTAATCAGGACACTCTTACTATACAAGGTTGCCTCAAGGAAATGACAAGATCCATTGCATAAATCACCCCATGACATGTCACTACTCATTACTTGTCAATTTCAGGATAAGGGCGGTGGAAAACAGCCAGATAAGGTGAATTTTACTACGTTTTTAAGTGCATGAGTACGTTGCCTTAATGGCAAGCTTATTGACCATTAATTTATGCTTATGATAGTTGATGAACCTACTACCAAGGCAAGGTATTAGGTATATGATACACCTTAAAATCTGCCCGAAAGCTATATAGACCATGGTGTTACTCACAGAGATAGACTCAAAGCCATTCAGCTGGAAGGGAGAAGGATTGTTTCTACTGACAGTATAGCGTCCACTAATCAGATCCAGAGCATCCTACAAAGGACAAGAAACTTAGTGAGGTTGAGTGGTCTTTAATTAAACTAAGGAAACTAACTGAAGATATTGATAAACTTGCCTGCCGAATCCCATCATGAAAATTATTTTGGTAATAACGTGAAAGTGCACTCACGCCATCTTTGATTATTCCGCCTATTGTTTGTTTTCCGTACCTGCACCATGATCTCAAAATGTATGAAAAAGAACATTTTGACTTGGGATTGCATACAGTTTAATTTACTTTACCTAACCAAGTCCCCTTTGAGGGCATGAGTCCCAGCATACTCAAGGCTAATCTCATCACCTTGCTCAGCCCACACTAAACAGAAAAAAAATTTAGTTCAAATAAGGGCAAAAATTCACCCAGGAAAAAGAAAATTGAAGGAATAGCCCAGAAATTTCATACTTGCTCTGAATTTTCCATATTCTTCCCCAAACATAGAAATGCAATCATAGGGTGTCAAAATTCCAATCCTTTGCAACTGCTGATTTAGAGACTTCTGACCCAGATAACACTGCAAATAGAGTTAAGATAGTTGAAAAGTCTAATTCTCTATGGAATGCTATGGATTACTCGTTCTGCACATCTTCAGACAGAAGGAAGAGAACTTAAGGTACAATATGGGGAAGTGGATTCAAAAGCTAGGACTCATTTTGCACAAATAGGCAAATGCTAAATTTTTAGAATTAAATTTTAAACATTGCATGTACAGACACTACATAAGAAATTTTCCAAGACGACAGAGAATAAGAACAGAATTAAACCTAGCAATTAACTGATCATTTATCTGCAAACCTGGGTAACATTTGTTCGATCAAGGCAATCAATGCAGTTAGCTCTGATAATTCCTCTCTGTTCCTCCAGGACATTCCCTTTTCCATCTATCAACAAATATCTGCTCAGCTCAAATAGCAATGTTAAAAGTCTGAATTACATCTAGATTGCAGCAAACAGTATCACTTGATGAGTTTCATATTACCTTTGCCTCTCAAAATCCTCTGAGATTTGATCATAGAGGATATCCAGATTATCAAAGTTTGAACTGCCACAGTGATGATGGAAATCAAAAGACACATATCTGTCATAATCCATTAGCCACAAAAATAAGTTAAACAAAAGAAAATAAGAATATAAAGATACAGATCGGACCAAGCATGCAGTGATAAAAAAATTTTGGCCACTACTGTTAAAGAAAATTTAAGTAATCAAGGGGGAAAAGTCTCAACTGCTACCTCACATTTTGTAGATTTTGCATTTCAGCAGCATATGCAGCACTTAATTGACCTTCATCGCCAATCTACAGCAGTAACATTAACAAGAATCTGCTCAAAAAAATGCACTCAAACCCCAAGTAACAAGAACTAGAGATTTTGGGGGATGGAAGAACGGTAGTGGAAAAGAAGTATTTAGACAAGTTCTAGATGAAAAACAACCACCATAACACATTTTCACTCAATCATGACAATCCTGCCTTTCATGCATTGACAAGATCTAAAAATTATTAAATTTACAAATAGCTCTGAAAAAAATGTTTATGACAGATTAATGGCTTAGTGTAGAAAGAAAAAGCACACAAACCATACTTTATCAGTTAGATCAACTGCTATAGTCTCTCCATATCTCTGAAATAGATCATGGAAATGGCGCTGTACAACATTTGACTGGAGCAGGAGAGATGAAAAATAAGTAAACTTATTTTCTTCTAGGCATGCATAACTTTGTCCTCATGGTTAAAACATTAAAGCACTAGCATAAAATTCTGAAATAGAAGGGCACCGTTTGTTCATGATTAATTATCCCAAGGCACGGTTTATAGCTCAGATCAACAATCTGCTCCCAAAGCAGAGGAATTGAACCTCGAACCTGCAAAACAATAATATGGATTACTAATCACGAGCAGGTGCAAAAAGGGAAAATTTTTCTTCACGAATAAGAGGTGTTCTATGGTTATATTATGCATGCAAATTGAAATTGAAAAAATGATTAACTTTGCATCAATAATATTAAATCCCACTGGTTAACAAATCCTATAAAATTGAGTAAGAAATATCTAGACTGAAACTAAGAAATTTAGGAATATATTCAAGCACAGGAACTACTTGAATGTTGTAAAATAAAATAGCCAAGCTATACCAGTATTAGATAAAATAGGGGGTTAATACTAACACATTCTCAAGGGCAAATTATTAGATCACCAGGCACCAACCCCCAAATCTGAAGGAAGATTGCTCCGACAACTATGAGCAGATTTCATCCCCCCAGCAATTATAATCACTGGATAATAGAGTCTTAAGGATAATGAGATATAGCAGCTGTTAATCCTAAGTATTTTTTCTTGTTGGAGACACCTAACCACTTTAATTGTAATAAAATACTATTATCCAATGAGTAAAACAAGAATACAAAATTAATTGTGTCTAAGAGCAAGACACATGAAAAAGTTCAAATATATTAACAACATTGAAAGACTAGATATACGCCACCAAAAAACTTCTCATTCTAAATGATTGTAATCCATCCAAATTCATCATAAATAATTATCATTTTCATCTTCCTAAACAAAATTAAAATAAATAAGCATATAATAAAATGGTTGATAGAACTTCCTTCATTTGGAATATACAATGTAAGGTAATTATAAGATATATTTATAGTAACAAAATAACACCAAGTTAATGGATAACAAATTTTAGAAAAAGTGACAAAATAATCTGTTTGTCCCCAAACTTAACACAAAAGTTCCATTTTCATCCCTTAAAGTAGCACTAGTTTCAAGTCGTCTTTTGACCACTCAAACTTCATCACTGTTTTGTGCTCTCCCTTACTTTATCAGAGACCCTACAGCAAGTTTTGCAGGACAGTGCATCTACTGGAGATCCAGTGCCTCGTAGATGATAGCATACCAAATGTGAGGCAAAACTATTTCAAGGCTGTCATTGCTTTATAAAGGCATGTTGACACAACATTGTCAAATAATACCTGTAATAATGAGGACATAAATTCTCCAGTCTCAAGCAACTGTTCAGTTTCAATGAAATTGGCAGTGTCACCTTCAAGGTTAGCTCCTCTTCTCCACATTCGTGTTCCTATCTCATCAAATTCCCAGATTAAAATAATTCTTAGATTTTTTTAATTATATTAATACTAATTATTATAAGGAGTCATCTCTAGGAATCATACCTAGACGCCGAGTACACCTCCGTGAAACTAACATTATTGTAGCATGTGAGTCCTTTAGCTTCAGCTCTGCTGTTTGGAAGCTTAGACCTCAGTTAAGGGAGACAAATTCGGTATCTCAAACTGAAAGTTACTTCTTAGTCATTATTTTCTTGCATTGACATTATATAGACAGCCTACGCACAAGCATGAGGGGGTGGGGTGGGACATACAAGAACTTTAAACTTCAGGATATTTCCTTGTACAATGGGAATAACGAATCTGTCAAGCTGCCATCAAGAAGATAAGTGTTAAAATAACAAACCTCAAGATCATACTGAGAGTGATAAGATGAAATCCATTAAGCCATAGGAAACAGTTTCTTCTCTTACAGAAAGCCAAAGCATTTTCACATTCACAAACAGGAAGTGATAACATATTGTCTAACCTTATACTCAATAAGATCCTCCAAAAGATGTTTGTTCCAGACAAATCGAGGATCAGCCTGGAAAAAATGGAAAAGAGAAGCTTTCAAGAGGCTTTTACTGAAAAGGATGATCAAAAGTCTCTTAGAAGAGAAACAGGTCTCCAAACGGATTTTTCATCATGTTCTCACCGGTTTCAGCAACATGAAGGGCCCCTGCCCCCACCCCCTTTCCATTGATACAAGAGCAACATACATGGACACATAAGAAAGCCAACCATAGAACTGTAGTTGGATACAGCTAAAGCTTTGATAGCATCATCAATTAGTATAGGTCGTTAAAGGATCACTTGATCACAGCATGTTCTCAAACTAACATAACATAGTTCAATTGCATATGATCAAAAAGTCACAGCTAGAAAGCTTCACTTTCACTGGAGACATGCAGGAGTAGATTTCAGCTTAGACAATTCATGCATTCAAAGATTTTGATTCCAGAAGATAAGGCAAGCTTTGTGCCAAGTCCTAACTAACCTGCTTCCAAATTGGCTTACTCATCCAACCTTCTATTAACTTACATCTTCGCTGCAAACTGATGAACTTGATAAATCACATATCAGGAACATCAATTGTGCAATAACGTCAATATAATTACAATACAATAATAATAACCACACCATCCGAAAACTGTAAATCTTACTTTAATGTAATATCTGTATCATATGAATAATACAATCCTGGCATTGACTCTACTATTTTCAACAGAGTCCTGAAGTAAGCCTCATCTTTTTTCTGCAGTAAGATAGTACACAGAAAAGGATTAAACTGCAACTGATATATAATATTTTAATGATGCCTGAATAGCTATGGACTACTCAAAACCTTACTTCTTGAGCAGTTGAAAACCTCAAAGCCTCATTGCAGGCCAGAAGTCTCATAGACATCAAGCGATATACTGGAAAACCAAGAAAGCTCCCAACTTCTTTACGAGAAGTTATAACAAGGACATAAGTTCCTATACCAGGAAAGCACATCAGTCAGTGCAGCTATGTATAAGGTAGCCATAGTTCTAGAATAGGTGGTTAACTTAGGGGAAAAAATAAAAAAGGGAGAAATAGGGAGAAAAGATTTAGTTCATATCATGTTTTGAACTAGCTCAGCTATGCTAGCTTTTGTGTCATGCTTAGGCAATGAATCAAGTCAAATGTAAAAAAAGGATGAATCCAAATAACTCAAGAAAAAAGCATGTAAGCATTTACCTACAAGTAATCTTATTGTTCCCACCAAACCGTAAATCGTAGAAGTCGTGGGAGAACCTTCAAGATCCGCGTCACCTGCAGGTTTATATTGAAAAAGGAACTTGTAAAGGTAATTATAAAAATAAAATCATGAATTCAAATGGATTTTATTACTCCCAATCATACATACATGGGAGTGAAAATACACGGCTATAAAAAGCTCAAAATGTAAGATATAGCGAAGCAAACAAATGACAACTTTCTGGTTCCCAAATAAAGACCTACCAACACCCACCGTGAGTAAGCAGCATAATACTCTTAAGTCCCACTTCTGAAGCACGTCTCAAAGCTATACGATCCATAACTCATGATACATTTCCAGGAAAAAAAAGAAAAAGAAAAAGCACCATCCTTGATAAATAGGTACAAGTAAGGGTGGAAACCCACTTCAACAGCAAGTCAACTAATTTAGAAGAGCATTTGCCGCTTTTTCTCGAGCATCATTCATTACTTGAAGCAACAAAGTTGAGTAACAGAAAAAGCATATTACCATCAATTAGACTGATTGTCCCGTCATGGCGACTAATCCAGAATCCTTGATCCGTAGGCTCAGGAGATTTAATCACGAATTTGTCCTGAAATTCATGCAATTCCAACTGGTCATGAAGCTTGAATCTTTCACCTGAACTCGAAAACTCCTCTTCAATCTCCATTCTTTACGGAATCGAAACGAGATCTCAGAAGATTTGACAGGACAACATTGAAAATTAGACTTTGTTGTTCATCTGCTTGTAATGATTCGTAGAAGGACAAGGAAATGAAAAGGAAGTCAGAAGAAGATAAACAACAACCCGTCGTTGACACCAAAAAAAAAAAAAAAAGGAAATGAAAGAGCATGAACCAAACTCGTTGATATGTCTGAAAATGAATAAAATATTAAATTTTTAAGAACTCTGGTCGAGAATGATAAGAGAGAGAATTAGAGGGAAATGCTAATAAAGGGTACCGAGTCTAACGACCATTGCGCACCTTCTTTTTTTTTTTTTTTTTACAATGTGCATATTTTAATTTTAATCTTTTAGTTAAAAAAAAGTACAAAATCTTTATCAACCAAATTCATATTTGAGAATGGAGAAAATAACGATCGAATCAATATAAATTGATGACCTGTACCTAGTTCTGGAGTTGTTATATAATCGCTGTCATTTGCTAATGTGATAGCTGTTTCCTGTTTGTGAGCATTTCGTGGGTAAAATCTGTTTAGAAATATCAATGCAAATTGAAACAGTGATTAAAGCCTCTTGTGCTTTACTCTCATGTCGGAAACACAAAATTGAATGGACTTTAAAAATTAATATAATGAGTTAATGTGAATTTTAGTTTAATATTGATCTATTATTTTGTTTTAATTCTTTAGAAATAATTATCACACTTAGACTGCTGATAGATAACATATCTTAATGCATATAGATGATATAATCGTTGTCACGTCCAAAAATGTCATAAAATAATACTGTATTACTCGCAATAACCATATTAATTATGCTTCTTTATAACATGGTTTGGTAGAGACAATGTCATCATTTTTGTATCAAACAAGATGAAATATCAATCATCCTTACAAAATATGAGAATGAAAATCTTCTTGGGATTATATTGAGACCGTATGCTTTTTCCAAGCGTGGATGTAGTATTAATTCATTCTTAAAATTTGAAAACGGAAGGGGCCAGGGGAAATGCAGCTGCTGAACATTTGATTTGCGTATTGTTTTGCATTCGTTAGTTAAAAAAAAAAATCTGCGAGAGTTTCATCCTAATTTTATGTTAGTTGTTAAGGCATGACAACCTTTCTTCTTTCTCCAAATTTAGGCTAACTATGAAACTCATCTAGTAAGATAAGAGAGCTAATGATTCGTGTAGCACCAACAAAAATTACAAATCATATAGTCAATTTCACTTAGCGAAAAAATATTGTTGTTATTGTTTGTGTAGTTTAAAAAGAAAATTTCAAATCATGTAGATAATCTCAAGTAGTGAAATAAAACTTACTCCCTGCATTCAAAAATATAAATATTTTTTGAAAAGTTGGATATTCAAAAATATAAGACATTTTTAATTTTTGAGGTGTAATCATTGCCTTTTTTTTCTCAAAAGTGCCCCCATTAATAATAACTTTATATTTATTATAGGGTGTTTAATAGGAATAAATATAAAAAATAAAGTTAGTGTAAAAGCAAGTAACTACTTTATTGGGAAGTGAAATTCAATTAAAATGCTTTATATTTTTTAATGAAAGAAATATTGTTTATGTAATTGAAAAAGAAAGGACTAGTGAGGAAGTGAAATATAAGTCTGAAATCAAAGAACATTGGTTAAATTATTATTTGGTCCTGAAATATAATAAACTTTTAATTTTACTTTTATTTAAATAAAAAATTTACAAATTTGCATTACATATATATTCTTTCTCATAATTAATGAGTTTAAATATGGATGATATTAAAAAAATATAATTAATATTCTATCAAATTAAATGTCTTATATTAAAGACCAAGTAATTTTTCAAAAAAGTGCACCATAGTAGAAATCGAAAGGAGTATCACAGAATAAAAAATATCAAAACCCTTCTCATTTTAACAAGTTTTTTACTTTTCACCTTTTTTCCTTCCCTCAACACTAACATGAAGCCCTGCAATTAAACAGGAGCAGACCGGGAGATAAGTCCAGAGAGGAGCAATAGAGCTAACAAGTTTCACTCTGAAACCAAGACCACATAATTTATCTTACACAAAAATATAACATACCTGTATATAACATATTAGTACAACTGAGCAAGAGGGCTTTATTCACTTTTAGCTCACCGGCATAGCCTCAGTGTCCTCCCATGCTCCCTAATCCTAGAACCAGTTACACCATTTCAAAAGAATGACTCAATGCTGAGAAGCTTGCACAACTACTTTTTGAATGAACTAGCCACTTCACCCTTTTCATACATGGAGATCAGAATATCACAACCTCCGACCAATTCTCCATTCAAAAAGATCTGCGGGAATGTGGGCCAATTGCTGTACTTCTTAAGCGTCTCTCTTAATCCATAGTTATGTTCTTCATCCAGCACATCAACACTCTCATAATCCACTCCTTCACTTTCAAGAATGCCAATCACCCTCTGGGAGAATCCACATAACGGTGCACTTCTAGAGCCCTTGATAAATGCAACCACCTTGTTCTCCTTTACCAACTTGTCAATCAGTTCCTCGAGGGGGACAGTCAATTGTGCATGGCGACCAGGGGTTAGTCGAAGATCCGCCTTCTTCTTAGGTGGCTGCTTCATCCAGGTGGCATTTCCTGATTCATTACCAGGTGGAATTTTTCCATTGGCTTTTAAGTGCTCTTCCATCCATGATTTCCATGCTTGGGTTAGAGTTTCTCTGTCTGGTTCATCTACCACCCCAACCTACAGCAGACAATTTTACAACGAAATCATTGTTAGGAAGGAAATATCACTGGGGAATGAGAACCTTAATCGGAACATCATCTTGAAGTAAAGAAGGAAGGCAAAAATCTTTGATCAATCTTCTCAGTTCGCTGATTGTGAGCGTCTGTGCTTCTATTCTATTTCAATGTTTTTACTTTTTAGGAAGAAGGGGAAAGCCCAAAAAAGGTTGAAATCTTTCCAGGATTGTCTCACTTCTCATAATAGTTTATTTACGTATCTATGCCTCGTATTATTTACCATCCTGGCATAACTGTTTCATTGAAACAGATGTCCAGAGCGATTGAAGCCAACTCAAATTCACAGCGAAGACATAGTTCTAACCATTTGGCTCTGCAAAAGATTCCTTCATTCATAACAAAACATATACAAACTTTCTGATCATGCAAACAAATAAAAGGCATTTGAGAGAAGTTTTATCTCAATTTTCACTCGCTTAACAATTGTTTGACAGGAATTTTTCCAGATTTCCCAGGTGCAGTGTTTTGTTCAAGTAGTTGTTAAGGGCCATAAACTCTGATTAAATAATGCACTAATCGCGTAATGCTTCCAATTCTCCACAAGAAGGCATCGGGAAATCAGGATTGTAAGTCTGGTGCTTTGACTTGGAGCTTCAAGGTCGTGGGGTTAAATTGTAGGACATTATTTTGAGTGGACAATGGTCATGGTAGAAAGGAGCAAGCTCATGCAACTCCAGATAAAGAAGGGGTGAAATAAAGTTTAATAGTTGTAAAATATCTTCTTCCTTTATAAGCATCATTAAGATGCTGCCAGTATGAAGTTGTATAGAACGACCTTCAAAATTGGATCACATAAGGTTGTACTTAAACCACATACCAAATCACTCTCTATGCCGGCCCATCTATTGTTCAGCTAAAATCCATCTTTTCAAGCATGGTGCTTGGTAAACTTCAGACAGCCCATCTATAATTCATGATGTAGACACCAGATTCAGTGATGAAAGCATCCTTGTGCAAAAACATACTATTTCATAAGCATATGCCATAAAGCCCTAAGGTTTCATATAATTGAGAGGGTAAGAAATGACATTCAAGGGGTGAAGCTAGCCGTGTATCAAAAGAAATAAGAAAGGTGAAAAATCATACGAGTGAAACAAAAAGTAAGTCAAGTGTATAAAACGCAACCATCATTCTATTCCTTTTATTGTAAGCAAGCAAACATAGGAGCAGAGCAACTATTTATGCTTTCCTTGTCCAGTTTTGCCTATGCACTCGATCAGTTTCTACTAATTTTCTCCTTTTCGGATTCTTCATTTCCAAACCAGTCACTTTCTTTCCCTTACTTTTCATAATTTGATACTTATTTTCTTTGCGGTAAGCCAAAGTTTTATTCTAAAATAGCTCCATTCGGGAGCTTGAAATGATGCTTGGTTTGTGAAAATTTTCTTTTAATTATACAATAGATATTTATAAGATATTTGATAATATGTATCCCGAGAGGAAATTAATCCTTTTATCAATATTTCCAATCTTACAAATAAGTTTCCAGTTCCTCGAGAAAATTAAGAAAACCAGTTTACCCTTACCTTCACGGCGCCAACGAGCTCTGGAACTGATTTCCGGTGAGCAGAAACGCTTGCTGCAATGTTACGCGATAAGCCAATGAACTGAAGATCGTTGTTTTTGTCGTAAATGGCATATACGCCGGTACCCGACGGCAGTTCGGCCGCGGCGCCCTCATTTTCCGGCAGCAGGACTATCGGATGCGTCTCCCCGAGGTTCTTGACAGCTAAAACTACCGGCCGCGGCCGAGGCTTATCTGTATCAATATTGTAGGGTTTCAGAGAAAGAGAGCGCAGAGTTAAAGAACGTTTGGCTTTGACCTGCGAACAGAGTGACGAAGCAAAGGTATTTTGTGGGAATGAAGAGAATAAACGAAGATAAGAGAAACTATGTGCTGAAGAAAGGTTGATAGTAGCCATTGATGATCGCTTAAAGCTCGCAGTGGGGGGAGGATTGAGAACCAGCGTTTAAGCCAGAACAGGCCCGACACTTCCTGGGCGTTCGATAGCTTGGAAGGCTGAGACGCAATTTTAGTATGGGTATTGATTTTGTGAATTGTAAATATGTAAACAAATAAACGTAGATAACAGAGACAGAGTTAGATTAATTTTTATTAAATGACAAGAAGATAAACTAAGAAAAAAATTGAATATTCTTTTGGCCAAAAAAATTGAATAGAGTTGAGACCAGCAAAATTTTCAAGCAAACATCACTTCTGTCCTATGAGAAGTTCGTAGAGAATGGGCAAAGTAATTTAAGATAATGAAATTTTTCCAGAGTGAAGTAATTTAAAACTATGAAATTATTTTCCATTTCCTATTAAGCACAATAATGGCAACGAGAGCATCTGATTTTTATTTTTTATTTTTTTGTCTTTCAAAATCAAGCAATTTTTTTATTTTATGAACATGAATCTAGATGAGTTGTGTGTAAGACTTACAAGAGTTAGGATGCACATATAAATTTAAAAAAAATACAAAGATAATTACAATGACGTCCTTACATCAGCAGTAGCAAGATTTAAATTGAATCCAAAATCTTATAGTCTCATTCGTGTCAATTTTTTATTATTTGTATTAATCTTTGTTAATCACCGTATGAAATAAGATTTTTAACAACTTTTGTTTGTTTGTTAGTTTTAAAAAAAAGGACTGAAGTTTCAACCAAAGGGCCCAAATTAAAGTGATTCATGTCATGATCCAGATAATTAAAAAATGATTTATGACTCAAGTCTCAACCAAAGGGCCCAGTTTTATTCGATATCGGCTTTGCTTCGCTGAAATATTGTGCCCCCACGCCTCCACTGAGCTCAAAATGCTGTGTCTCAGTAATAAAACAAATTCTTGGCTGTTAGTTTCAACTTTCGCCAAGCAATCCTAGCCTTCCATTGCCATTTTAATTTAATTTTTTTTTTTCATTCTTCTTCCAGAATCATTCATTCAATTTCAATGGGTTGCGGGCTCTAAGTTTCACAAGCTCATTGATGATCTCAGATCTTATTGTAAGCAGATGCAAAAAGCTTCGTTCTCGTTTGGCTCAGTGACAATTGATCTTCTATACTTCGTTTTTGCCACATATTCAAGATCTCCTTTAAATCTTAGATTTGAAAATCTTTGGAAATTAAGATTTATCAATCGATCTCGAGGTTCAAAGGAGAGTGGAAGGGGAAGAACTCTACTGCTAAAATATGTGTAAGTTCTCTCTATTTCTTAGGACTTTGATTTATTCTACTTTATTCTTCTGGTTAGCATGTATTAATATTAATTATTAATTTATTATTTATTATTAATTTTGTTCATTAGCTGTTACTTCTACTTCTGCATGTTGTATTAGGAAATAAAGGGCAAGATTCAATTTGTGAAGAATGTGCATGATGTTGTTGCTAATGTCAGATAACTTGTTTCTGACATTGTTGTTATATTCGATAACACAAACAAAATTTTGTTGGTCTAACATGGTTAATTATTAGCTTTTTTGGCTTTATTCAATGACGTTTATCTAATTAATAAAGTATATATTGTGCTTTATTTAGATGGAAAAATTACTGATAAATTTGCTTCATTTGATTGAAGATTGAGGAAAGAGATAAGTTCTAGAAATCATAAACTCATTTTCATGTGAACAAAGATCAAGGGGGTGTTATGCATGGGCATTACAAAAGTTGCAAAGCTATATTAAGGATGAATGATTTGCTTATCCTTTATGGTTTATTGGCATTGAAAATATAAAAGGAATTATTTCTTGTATTAATTTTGCATATTATAAGGTCCTAAAGAGTGACATGCATTTTTAGATAATTTAAGTATCTTAAGTATTCCTAATCTTCTCATTGTGGGCTATGTATACACCCTCTATTCCCTTTTTGTTCCAAAACTTAGGTGCTTAAATTAAAGTTAATGGCAATTTCTACTCTTCGTATTGCTATTAGTATTGTGCCTTGCAATTGAATGAGATGCTTGCAGTTGAATGGGAACTTCTTTTTTAAGCACATTTTGGGGTCATTTACTGCAACCTTCACTCACCAGTGGTGCAATTTTTTGTATTGACTTTTATATACAAGTTAAGTACCTCATTGATGGATTATTGGTTAAATACTTTATAAAAAATTGAGGGGTTAATTGTTTTTAAATAAGCTACAGTAACTTTATATTTGATACTATCTTGATACCAAACACAATTGCTTCAATGTATTATAAGCCAACCAATAGGTAAGTAGCATTACTTTAGCTTCATGCTTAAAATTTAATGTTAGAAATATCTCATTATTGCACATTAAGGTTAATGACTCATGACAATGTAACATTGGCCATATATTGTGAAATTATAATCGCAATCCAAAAATAAAGAAGTCAAATTGTCAACTTAGAGAAAAGGCTATGAACATGAGCTATTAACATTAGCTATATTTTTAAAAAGAGAGCAGCCCAAGAAGAGCGAAGGCTATATAATCATTAAATGGCTTATATGACCAACACACAAGAGCATTCCAAGTAAAATATGGAATAAAAAGGGAGTGGAATTTGGAACAAATAGGAAGCAAACAAAATGAAATGAAGCATCCCAATTCCCAAGAGTAATAGAAGCAATGGCCAAAACAATAGGAAGCAAATGTAACTAACATAAACTAATGGCTGAAATAAAGGAGTTGAATTAGATAACATCATTTAGGAGGATTTGAGTTGAATTGTAAACTTGTATTTGTTCATGAAGAATATAAATAAGTATTGTGCTATCTTGAAACTATAAAGTGTATTAAAAGTTCCATTGATTTGAATAAAAGTTAATCATTTGAAATTGTTATAATTGACCATTTGTGAATGCTTAGCTAAACTCTACTGCTTCAAGTGATATTATATCACAATCAAATGGTGCCTATATTCAAGAAAAGAAAAAGAATGATTAAATACATATGGTATAGATCAATAAACTAGTTAGAATATCATGTACTTACCATCAATAAATTTGTAAAAGTCATTTGACTTGCTTTAGGTGTATTAACATTATGATCATGTTCTTCTCTAGTTGAGGTATCTTCTTTAATTGTTTCCAATATCATAGGATCATATTGTACCTAATCATGCTATAGTTGGAAAATAAATAATAGTTACTTAAAAAGCATCTTAAAAAAATAGCAAAACATAGATAGAAACTTATTAGAAGCATGCCTTTGAAGTTTTTCTAGAATCTTGTAAAGTTTTTTTTTTTGTAGGTTTGAACTCTTTGTCTTTTCCAACTTGATTCCTTTACACAATTTCTCAATCATTTTTTTTGTTTTTCTGCCATCTCTCTTTTTAAACCTAATTGTTTTACCATCACCGCCATTACCTTCATCACCACAATTTGCCTCATGATTTCCTCCATTATCATCACTATCTTTTTGTTTTATGTGAAGCTCAGCCACTTTTTTAATCAGTTTCAATATTGCTTGATGAACTAGAGAAAATACTTCTAGACTTTGTGATGCATCATTAGCCAGCTGAACAAACATAAGGCACAATTTCCTATACTGTCTTGACATTTCTAATTTAGGATTGGCTTCAATTTCCTTTCCCTTAAAATTGTACACTACACCATTTTCTTGTCCATCTCTTTATTATTATTTATATATTTCTCTAGAAGTAGCTTAACATCATGGTCATACAATACTTTTAATACATGACAACATAATATGTCTACTCGTTCAAACGTTTTACAACTATAAATAATTGTCTCTGTTAAAGGATCAAATATCAAACTATATTCTCCTCTCTTATCAATCACAGTGATCAAATAATCAAGTAAGGTAGCATCATCCTCCTCATCTTTATTTTTCTTCCTTTCATGTCTATATTTTATACATGTAGCATTACATTGATCACATTGGAGTTGGAACAAGCCAATAATATGTATAGCATTGGATTGGGGGTGTAATGGAAAAATAAAATCAAAATCTAGAAACCCCAATCACAATCGCAAGCTAATCAAATTTGTTTAAGTCAAGGTGGACAAAAGAAATACCTTTTGTATGTCGAACTTTTGAGCTTTCCTTAAGTGTTTGGACCTCTGGAGCTAACAATGTAGATTAACTCTCTTTACTGATATCCATACGAATAGCTTTCAATACAATCACCATGCTAGCGCTCCTAACATTCGTTCATCTGCGTAAAAGCCTTGAAAGATTTGATTTTGTGGCCTTAGTCAAACGTTGCTTTTCTTTTTCTCTAAGGTGTATTTGTAGCTCTCAAAAAATTTTGCCGTCAAGAGTCACTCTCTTTATTTGGAAGCTCGTCTCTCTCTATATTATATAAATTAGGGTTTTTGTCTTCCCTTATGAATTTTCAAAAAAATCACAATTATTTCAAAAATTATATCTTGAGCTAACGAAAATAAAATTTATTTTATTTTATAAATTAAATATATGATATCACATCTTATTTGAATTTATCTCACAAATTTAAATTATAGAACTAACATGATATTTTCTTATATCATGTTAGTTATTAAATTTAATTTATCATATAAAACCTAAATTTACAAGTAACACAATATAATATGATATATATTTTATGAATATATATATATATGTGTATGTGTGTATATAAAATATTACATTTTGAATTTTATATTTCATACACGCATATATATATATATATATATATATTTATTAAATAAATATTCAAATACACACACACACACAAAATTTATTTACACTAAATAAAACATTATATTTATTTAATCTAGATGCATTTCAAATTAAATGAACTTGAACATTATAGTTCGAGTTGGACTGTTCTTATGTGTAACCTCATAGGTCTATATGAAGTTGGCAGTAGATCAATAACACTATTAGCCCACAAGTCACAAGTGGTCTCTAATAAGACATTATGACTATCTAATTCATATAGGGATCAATGACATAATGTAACATATCATATAATCATATCACATCCCTTTTGTCATGCGATATTTCGATCAAGTATAAGATATAGAATTGTCATTCTTATTTGCTTGACCATTCCTTTCTCAATTTGAGTGGACTAATTATGGCAATAAAAAAATCATTTCCATTA